CTGTATTAATCATCTTTGTTTAAGTCAAATCTGAACTATCATTTCTTCTCGTCTTCCTTGTTCCGATTGCGAGCTGGAATCAATATCGTTTGATAAAGGGCGGAAGTGGGAGTTGTCCTTTTACGTGGTCCGAAATGGCTGGAATTTGCTGGCTTACAGGGAAAAGCAAATATAAACTCTTTGATAGCTCGAGCAAGAGCACTTACGTCTCCACTTTTTCGAGACTTTCTTTTTGTAATACATTTTTCTCGTATTGGTAACTGTTTGAAATTTCACTTAAGAGTGGAGCAATGGCGTCAAACGTTGAAATCATCCAAATTATTTTGTGCATATTCCTACCGGTTGGTTATTTTCAAATTCTTTTTGATTTGTGCAGATCTAAGAGAAAATACACGCAGAGTGATCGATACTTTGTGTTTTGGATTTATGTCTTCTCAAAAATCGCGTGAGTCCACGTTTTATACAGAGGTTCTGTATACAGTGTGTGGCATACGGTTGCCCCAGACAGAGCTGAGCGTCCTAACCTAGAGCTGAGCGTCTAACCAGAGCTGGAGAGGCTTCTTAGCAGAGCTGAGGCTTCTAACCGGAAGGCTGAGCTTCTAACCCAAGAGCTGAGCTTCTAACAGGGCTGAGCTTCTAACCAGAGCTGAGCTTCTAACTAGAGTTGAGCTTCTAGCCAGAGCTGAACTTCTGCTTCTAGCCAGAGCTGGGCGGGAGCAAACGAACCCGGACCATCCGGATCGAAATTTCAAACCCCGCTAATTCCAGATCCAGATTTTCCAATCCCTAGCTCTTTTCCAACTAAAAACACCAAATCTTCAAGCATAACAAAAATTCAATTTCTCTCAGCCACTCGGTGTCTACTGGCACACGAAGACAATGTGACATCAACGTGTTGATCAACACTGCTTCTCTGTATCTTCTATAGCTTCGTTAGCCTGGCGGTGAGTTGGAGCTACCTTTCTATAAAATTAATCGGAGTTATGAGTGTTTTCGCCTCATCCAAAATCGCCTTGATGAGATATTCTTCTTATGTGATTAGGGTCCCGGCTTTACAAACAGCTAAATCTAGCAAGATTTGCTTCAAAGCGAACCCGAAGGAAGCCAGATTTCAAAGCTAATCTCATAGGAAGAATTTGTTAATCATGAGTGAATCCCATAAGGGAAGAGTCTGTAATCGATTGAGAACGTAATGAGTACTTTTGGGCATAACTTAGAAAACATGGATCCATTAACTCTGTCTCTGATAAGATAATTTCCCGTTTGCCTGAAAAGCCCTTGCCGAAAATGCCGATTTACCTTCAAGTTTTTGATATTTCAACCTTTTCCAGGAATCCTTCACGCTTTCTGGTTCTGTTTCATGCGATGAGCCCGATGAACGAAAGCTGAATATTTTAAATATTTTGCAGTTAATCAAAATAAAGCAGCCCATAGACTCACTTTTTCATGTTATTGTCCAGGAAACTTATGGCACCGTTATTCGTTTGATGCAAGACGTCTGGGATGTGACCGGTAAGCTGAACCCAAATTTTGAACACAGTTTCGCTGAGCCCCAGCTATGACATGTGTGTTTTGAGAAATTTTTGGCGCACCCTGGATAGCGATTCATGACAACCTGATTATGCAGTGATCAGACGGTGGCAGGGAAAACATTAATAAAACATCAATATTGTATTGTGGTACTCCGATTTGCATCTACCGTAGTCAAATAAGCAAGATACCGGAATATTTTTAAAAATAAAGGTTTCTCTGATCGATTAAAGACAGACATTTCCGGTACTCAAATCTTCATTTGTTGGTTATATGGATAAAGTTGTATCTAAAAGTATAGACAAAAAGTTTCTAAAAAAAACATGTCTAGAAATATAAAACAAATTGAAAAATTTGACAGTTCAATGTGAAAAGACTCAGGGAACTTGAGCGAATGCTGTCTAAAAACTGCCATACAGGGTACGTCATAATTATTGTAACAAGATACTCAAGGCATTGCACACCAAGAAGTTTCACTGGAAGAAGATTTTTAAAAAACAGAAATAGCTTTATTTAACAGTAACAAATAAGGAAACAAGAGATCATTCGATATGACCGCCTTTTGCCTTGATAACAGCCCTTAATCGGTTCCCGGATATGCCTCCACTGCGGCTCGGATGTCATCTTGAGGACTTCAAAGACTTCTTCAAAGAATCCAAACTTGTGTGTTTTCGAGAGCAGACATTCGCCTCTAAGATTGCCCAAATAGGAAAGTCTATCACATTGAGATCCGGTGAGTTTTGGAGCCCATTCATCTTTGGTGATCACTGAGGGAAAGTTGGCCACACACCAGTCCTGGAACCGTCTTCTTCGTGTGAGAGCGGGAGCTCCATCTTGCATGAAGGTCCAATTTTTGATTGTTATTGGCTTTACACGCCCATGACATCACATTCTTCCTTAAAACTTTCTTCTTTAAAACGGTCTTTGAACTCTTGTTGCAATAATTATGACGCACCCTGCAAAATAGAAAACTTAAGGTCGCTCAAAAGTAATGGCCCCTTGAGCGTTTGTGTTGAACAACTTTCATAAGTCATTTTTTAAATTTTTATAGTTTTATTTCTAATTTATTTTGATTTTTTTTAGATATGGGCAAAAATATTATCCGCTTGCTGTACGCAAAATTCTTCTCGATAAGGTTTCCTCTGGATCCAGTGTCAAAAGAGAGGCAAGAAGCTCTGGAATCCCACTTTACTATGGCAAAGCGCTTGAATCCACTCTGCCAAAAGAAAAAGGTTTTGGAGTTCGAGTACAAGAAAGGACGCAACAGGATTACTGCCGAAAGATATGACAGAAGGCTCGTTCGTGAAAGTAAATCGAATCCCCGTTTAACGGCAAGAGAAATTCTACAAAATACTTTACATCCCGATGGTGTTCAACTTTCCATTTCTACTATAAAGCGAAGACTTGTTGATTCTGGATTATTTGGTCGACATGGCTCGAAGAAGCCGCTTATCTCAAAGAAGAATCAGAAGGAACGCCTAAGTTGGGGTTGGGCCAAGAAATACCGAAATTGGAATGTGGATGATTGAGCGACGGTTTTGTTTTCAGACCAAACGAAGGTCAACTTGTTTTCTTCTGACGGAATACAATGGATTCGACGACCAAAGAACACACGGGACGTTGAGGCGTACAATATTCCAACAGTTAAACACGGGCGAGGCTCGGTACTTCTTTGAGGATGTTTTTCGGGTTCGGGAGTTGGTCCACTCATGCGCATAAAGGGCATCATGAATGCCGAAAATATGTGGATATCTTGGAAAATTATATGTTGCCTTATGTTAAGCAAAATTTGCCTAACGGATAGACTTTTCAACAGGATCGCGACCCCAAACACACAGCCCAACGGATCAAAACTTGGTTCAATCGGAAATCGCGTGTCCGTTCTTCAATGGCCTGCTCAAAGCCCCGATGCCAATCCTATTGAGCATGTATGGAATTATTTGAAGAAACAATGTCAAGGATATAAAGCCAAAAAATAGTGATGATTTAAACCGGAAATTACAAGAAGAGTGGGCAAAAATTGACGCAGGAGTCATCAAAAGCTTATTGAATGAATGCCAGCTATTATTGGTGCACACGGTCAAAGTACAAAATATTAGTTCTTTTTGAGCTTTTTGTTATATCTGTTTTTGTTGGGTAAAATAACTTTAGAACTCGAAAACTTCTACAGCATTGCCAAGGGGCCATTACTTTTGAGCGACCTTAAGTTTTCTATTTTATGGCAGTTTTTAGACAGCATTCAAAATGTGCTGAAACCAAAATATTTATGCATGCTTATGAAAAATCTATATTTTGTTTTTAAACATATGACTCTGCTTATTTGTTTTATATGACAAACCTGAAGGTTTGAGGGGGCCATTATTTTTGAGCGGCACTGTATATGGAAGAGCGTCGATCCCCTTCTGCCAAAGTTTAGCGGGCAAAGAAGTCGGTCACCCATTCTTCGACTTCCTCTTGATCATCAAAGTGCTCATTCGCCAATTCAGCGGCCATATTCCGGAAAAGATGAAAATCAGAAGGGGTGAAGTCAGGAGAATATGGGGGATGTAAGAACCTCCCAGCCCAAAGCCTTCAGTTTTTCCTTGATCAAACTTGCGGTGTGTGACCTGGCGTTGTCGTGCTGAAGAATGACTTTTTCCTTGTTCGGCCTCTTTATTGCAGTCCAACAACAAGCCGATCTAGCTGATTGGTGAATAATGATGCTGTAATAGTTGTCCGTTTAGGTAACAACTCTCAGTGAATGGGTCCTTCTCTATCCCACCAAACTGACAACATGATCTTCTTCTGGTGGAGTTCGAGTTTGGGCTCGGGTTTTGCTTTTTCTCCTGGTGCAACCCATTGCTTGTGTATTCGATAGCTGATATATAGCACCCATTTTTCATTGACTGTAATCACAAGAAAAGATCGACGGCGATCGACTTTTTCATGTTATTGTCCAGAAACTTATGACACAGTTATTCGTTGATGCAAGGAGTCCGGGATAGATATGAGCGATAAAGCTGAACCAAAGTTTGGAAGAAAGTTTCGCTGAGCTCCAGCTGTCCATGGGCGTTTCGAGCAAACCAAAAACCATAGGAATCAGCTTGAAAAACTCTACAAGATCGTCTAGGTCTCATTCCATATTTTCAAACCTAACGTGAAATACGTCAAAAAAAAATACGTGAAATGTAAAAAAGTGTACTTTTGTGTGTCATCTAATCCAAAAAGACAAAAAAAGCTTTTGTATTGGCCATACTACATTCAAAAACAACGAATTTTCCGCTTCACAGACTTTCTCGACAGAACACCATTGGAATCTTTTTTTGAAATTCTCTTTAAAACTGTTAATTAGTCGTCGAGTCACTTCATTAACTTCACACAATAATTTTGGGGTTTTTTAGTTTTTTTTGCCATTTAAGTCTCTTTAAAAGGCGTCTCACGGTTGAATTCTTCTCGAGTCGAGTCGTCATTTAAGCCTGTTGCTGAGAATCATGACCAAGTATCGCTATTTCAACGATTCCCTTCTTTTGCAGGTGTGGTTTGAAGCCAACAAATACAGAGTGTCCCAAACTTTGCAAGTTGTTTGGTTTAAAAGTTTCATCAATTTTTCAGATCTATGCTCTTTACAAAGGAGACGACGTTCTCCGTTTGGATGCCGAGTGTGCTGAAGGGGACAATCCACATCCAAAGAATGCCCTTCAAGGCAAGTCTGTCTAATCGGGGATCATCGTCAATAATTTTTTGTTGAAAAGGGAGAGTTTGGAAATACTGGAACTTGTCCCTCTTGCCCCTTCATTCAATTTGCATTTATAGGGGGTCCCAAAAATTCTGGCATGACTTTTTGTAAAAGCAGCTAGCAAATGTCTAACTTATTTCAACTGTGGGAAGTGTTATATAGAGATTTGAAGTCCAAAACCTTGGTTACACTTACACACCAAAAACTTTCGCATTGAGTCAATTATTACAATGTACATTCGCAATTTTGTGTGGATAAGGTCAACAAGTATGTCGGTACGTTCTTGTCTCTACAATCAACTGAAGTAAATCACACATCCCAAATGTAAATTGCCCTGTTTGGGGAGATGAAATTGGCAAGGACCACAATTTGTATTGTTAACGTGACTCTCTAGGTTCAATCTACCTGAGCGTCGGCTCATTCTTCCTCAGTTTATACGCATTGTGTCTGATTGGAATGGCACAGCAAAAGTTCATGAAAATCATCTGCTACAGGATATTGTAGGTTTTGAGGGAAGCCAAATTTGATTCGATTTTTCAAGATTTGTCGTTGGTTTTGTCGATGTTATCAGCCTGGTTCCAAGCTCCATTTTGCCGGGTTTGAATCAAAAAAAAAGAATTTTTGTAAAAAGAAAAACATTTCAAGGCTATTTTCTGGTGATGGGCTACTCATTTTGCGACAGTCCACTGCTGAATCTCTGGATTGCAAGTTTGTGCTTCAGTGAGTTTTACCACAATTTTCCGAAGGACCTCGTTTTTTTTGCAGCCAATTGGTGCGTCTATTGTGCGTTGAGTGTGGTGTTGGCGCTGAATCGCTGTGTCGATTTTATGGGTCCCCAGTTGCAACAGGTAAATCTAGGTCATTTTTATTGCGACACCGTGGTGTGAATGCTGCATTCATTTACAGGGACTCAGATCATAAAATTCAGACACTATTTGGCGGGTGGCGACTGCTGGCGTGGATTCTCCCACCATTCATCTACGGAGCCGTCGTCTACTTCACTTGTCCTCCACTCGTCTATCTCACCGCCACGGCCAGCTATTATTTTGCGGCAAAGCCCGAGCATTCCATTGTGAGCCACGTTTCACTTGATCAGATAAAAACAGTCGAACTTCGAGATGTATAACGAATCGCTCGAAACCGAAATTTTCAACAATCAACCTAAAGCATGTCGTAAATTCTCTGCAGAACTGCTCTGGGTGCAGATGCAGAAATTTGGAGCAAACTTTAGAATTTCAAATGCGTTGTGTCGAAATGGATTGAGAGTTGAGTTGCTCTTGTGGCCTAGTGAATAGACTGCTGGGCCATCGAACCATTGAATTATTGACTCGGGTTTTATACACCACTTTCTGTAACTTCATGAAATAATTGACAAAAGCTCAAAGCAGCCAAAGTATCAGAACCAGTAGATAAGTACCGTATTTACTCGAATAGAAGACCGGTCTTCTATTTTTTCAATCACCCCCTAGACCCCGTCTTCTATTCGAGGCCGGTCTTCTATTCAAGACGGTCTTTTATTATTTGCATTCACGAAAATTTTCGGGAAAGTAACCAGCGTTTAAAAAAAACTTTTTTATAGAAATTTATTGTGACATTTAACAACAAAAATTTATCAACAACAACAACCTTTAATAACAACATTAACAACAATTAATAAGAAAATAAAAAAGCAGTAATAACAACATTATTCTTCATACTCACTTGATTCAATGTCATCGTCTATTAAATCTGGATCTTGCAAATTCCATCAAGTCCCTCTGCGCTCGAAATTGAATCGTTTTCACTCTCATCTCCATTGTTTCTATCCTCGTCGGAGTCGATATCTTGACAAAGTTTTGCTAATCTTCCCTCCAATCTTGCAATATCCAGCTTGAATCGACCACTCTCAACAGCTTCCCCATTGCGGAAACAAACAATCTGATCATCCTCGCTGTTGGACTCCTTGTTGTCATTTTTTGCCGTCACAAAAAATTCGCAAGCCATTCATTGCTTGCAGAGAAAGACTTTGTGAAATCAAGGTTTGATTCGCGAAAAAACTCCTTGGCTTTGTTCTGAACCATACGTCGAGAAACTTTTAGCTTTTCCTCTCGTTTTTCTTTGATCCATCGATAAGTGGTCTCCTCAACTGCGCGAAATTTAAGCATTCCCCCTTTTAACCGCTTCGCTCCTTTCGATTCCTTTTGCAGCGACTCCTCTTTTGCCGTCCAGTCTCGAATCATCTTTGGAGTCACCTTAAACTATCGAGCAGTCGCCTCTTTCGAGTTTTTCTTTGAAAAGCGAATGGCCTCGAGTTTAAAGGCGGCACTGTAGGCTTTCCGTTTCGTAGCACCTCCGATCCCCCTAAAAATGCTACTTTTCCGTTATACCTCCGCCAACTCCACATTTCCGTTATACCCCGCCAGTTTTTCGATAAAAAATGATCAGATAATCAAATAATTAAAAATAATCAGAGTCAAAATGACGGAAATGTGGAGATGGCGGAGGTATAATGGAAAAGTACCAAAAAAAATTATTAATACAAGATGTAGAACAATATCAAAAAAATAGTGTTATTGAATGAAAATATAATATTTTACCCTATTGGGTAAATTCCCTTATTCTTTTCTCGTATTTGAGTACGTCCACTTTCGCGCAGAATAGAAAACAGGGTACCTCGAATATAAGACCGGTCTTATATTCGAGACGGTCTTATAATCGAGGCCGGTCTTCTATTCGAGTAAATACGGTATATTGAATTTTAAAAAATTAAAAAATTGAGAAATGTAACCTTTGTTCGCACATTTGTTGAAAGCTACAGAAAGCGGTGCATAAAATTTGACGCTATTTTTCATTGCAAAAGGAAAGAGCTCTTTTGAAAAAAGTAAAAAGCAAAAAAGTTTGATGAGAGCGGGACTCGAACTTGGGGGCAAAAAATGTAATAGGCTCGGTAGTCTAGCAGATTATCTACTAGACCATAAAAAAACTAAAAACAGATTCAAAATCCCGGTGGTCGACTGACCGGCTCTATAAGCTGGACTTGGGCTCGAGTGAAAAGGCCAGCTTGCCTTTTCCTTGTCAAATGACTTTATTTCAGATGCCAGGGATATTTTTATATAACAACGTCGGTGTGTCGATTTGCATCTTGTTTTTGAATAGCCTCATGCTGATTTTGATGTATCGATCACATAAAAAGATGAATGCGAACACGAGCAAAATACAAAAAGTCGTGAGTGATCTTTGTCTTTGATCTTTCAGAGAGAATCTTTGAGGAGAAAAGTCGATGCATTTTGTTTTAGATTGCTATTCAATGCTTTGGCATTTCCACGACGGTGATGATCACCGGCATTTTCTATTGTACAATCGCCTCGGGATTCATCGAGCTTCCCCATTCATGTACCTTGTCACCAATGGCTTATGGCAATTCTCGAATAGTAAGTGCTAGAGAGCCAACGAATGATCCCATGTCAAATCGTCAAAATTTTCAAGATTTGCCTTTGATAGAATCATATTTTTAACTACTTTTAGATTTGGAAAGTGAAAAAATCATTCCAGGTTCGATGGCTATTTTCTACATGATGGTTAACAAGTCGATGCGAGGAGAAGTGCTCAAAATGATCTGCCGAGTCGCCCAATTGAGAATAATTCAGCGATACAAAGTAACCTCGACATCGAATCAAACTGCTTAGACTTTTACAGACTTTTTGAGAATCACTCTAAAATTGAACGCATGAATTTTTTGGTCGTTTCAACCCCATTTTTGTTGTAATTTCGACGAAATATCGACGAGAAATAAAACTTCAAATGTGCAGTGAAGTAAAAATGAAGGGATTTTAAAAGATCTACAAACCACAAGCCTAAGCATACAAGAGACTTCAAGGGCTATCGCCTTGCGTGATTTCTTTCAATTTTTTCAATTCTTTCAGAATTCTACTTTGAGGAGCTCAAAAAAGAGAGCAAGTAGTCTACGTGCAGAACCCACAATCACAATTCGTTCTTCAAAATCCATCGCCAAAAGTCCTGTGTGTGATGGTGTTCGGTCGTTGAAACGGCGGAAAACTACACGGATTTTGTGACGTGAAAAAGCTTTGTTTCCCGGTTTTGAGAAACATTTTAATTTACGACCGCATCGAGCCACGAGGAATGATTTTCGACGGCTGACACTTTCATAAAATGTTAAAAATTTTGAAAAATGAGCAAGCAAAAAAATAACTTTACCAGTATAGCCAGTAGCAACCCCCAACTTTCAGAATAAAAAACAAATATCGGTGATACTGTTGTGTAGAGAGGGACCGAGATTGAGAGATGTTGTCATTTCATGTGACCTGTGAGCTCGTGTGAAACTCAGGTCCCAAACTTGGACGTGTAGCCGATTGCATCGAGATTCTATTGTAGTATGGCTACACTGAAGTTGAGTAGCCAAATCATGAGTTGTTTCAGAATTATTAGAATAAAAAAGAGTTTTCGAATAGGTAGAATGCCCTCTAGGGCAAGTTTTCCTCAATGGAATAAAGCGGTCCAACAAAAAGCGGTTCTTATCAACAACAAACTAATATTTTTGAATTGTGCATCTTTTTCATTTTGACACATCGGCTACCCTGATCACTTCATAATTAGCATAGCAAGCTAATGCTAAACAGCAGACCTTCAGAGATTTGCGCTTATGGGTAATAAAGATAGAACATAAAAAGTTAAGAGTATAGCCAGATTTTTTGAAAATGTTCGCTTTTAGCTTAGCTTTCCAAAACGACTTTCTTCATCGTGCTGATCGTCATCGATTGTTGTCATCGATCAGCGACTGTTGCCCCGACTCGTGCATTGGAAATTGTTACTCCGGGGAGTGCCCGTACTGGTGTGGCCTTCCAAACAACTGCTGCTAATGAAAATTCAGTTTCGAAGTATTTGTTCGGTAACAACTCTTTTGTAACATTGGATTTCTCTTTTCAATAATCTTTTCCTTTCCAATAAACATTAGTATTTATTTTTATTATTAGCTTGAAATGCTGTACTTTTAAAATCACCACTTGCCTTGATTTTGAAATTGATCATTACATGATTTGAGAACATCACTGATTTGAGAGCTGACCCAAAATTGATTATTTTCGGTTAAACGGCTGCCTCTCAAAAGCTAAGCATCAAATCGGGATAAAAATTTAGCAAAAAAGAACAGCTTGTTATAAGCTTGTTATGAGCAAAAAAAAAGACTCAGAAAAAGTTATGGCTTAACTTTTTAGAAACTCGAGAATCAGCGACATGCCAAGCCATACCCACCAACGCAATAACATCTAGAAACAAGAAGAAAATATATGCCGGTTATTAAGTGTCAAATTTTTACGATTTAGTCGCAGATCTGTCTTCTTTCTCTTGTTTTTCTTTTGAATCCTTCTTTTGTTTTTCATTTATATCCTCTTCTTTCTATGTCTTTCTAACTAGGGAACTGTTTCAACTTAGCATCGAGTTAAGCTACGAGACCTAGTGCATCGGATTCTACACAAAATTCCGAGCAAAACCCAGTTTTAAAATCAACCCGTGTAAAAGCGGTAATCATCAATGGGCCCTTTAACCCGTGTAAAAACAGGTTTGAAAATTGAGAGCGCGAAAAATGTTCGGAATTCGGTGATCTGAGCTTTCCCTCGTCGGGATTCATAAATGACCGGCCGGCCTAGCGGATAGTGTGCTCGAATTCGGAACTTTTCTGGATCCTCTCAAAGCAACTTCGGTGAATCCAGTGGCAAGTCTTCGAAGGAACCAATTGGCGATCACGATGAAGCCGAGATGGACAAGCAAATGATCAAATGAATGATGATTAGCTGGAAGATCGGATTGTGATAGTTTTCAAAAGCGATCTTTGCCAAAAAAAAGAAAGGGCATTTACAGTCAAGTATTCAAGTTGAAAAGTTTGCTCAAAGGAGGGATACGAATTTGGGCCGATTTTCATTAAATCTGAAAGTTTAGTCAATTAAACCCCCAGTTCAGATCGGTAAACTCAATAAAAGAATAGCTCCAATCGATGCCCGACTCCAAAAACCCACGGGAAAAACTTAAAGCCGGAATATCTTTTTGTAAATGAACGGCGAGATGTTCTTTGTGCGGCCGGGTAATCGTCATTTGGCGCACGGGTTAGGTCGTCGTAGCCCATTTGGCGCAAAACTTCGGTACGTGTGGGGGTGCTGGACATTTTGGTCTTCACCGTGTCGACGTTCTCTCAAAACTACACGGAACAGCACCCGTGAAATGGCCAACTGGCCGTTGGTGATGTCTTTGGTGATGTCCCCGCACTCCCCTCCCCCCTGGGCCGACCATTAGGCCCCGAGGGAAGGACCCCCCAACTAGGTCAGGGCTCCCTCCCCATAGGGCCCCCGTCCCGTTGGGCCGACCATTAGGCCGAGTGGGAGGGCTCTCCTCGACGTCCAGCCACCTCCGTGTGGTGGGCATTCCCTTGAGAAACCGGGGATGGCGAAGAGCTGGACTAGGTAAGAGACTTCAATAGTATGTAGTAACAAAAAGTCAAAGGGGTAAAAATCTCTTTCTTTCTTTCTTCTAAACCGAAACCGGCTAAAATAATCAAGGTTGAAATGATCTACAAAGCTGATTTCTTCTTTTAAAACCTGAGAAATTATTGATAAACCGATTTACTTTATTCTTTTCTACATGAAAAATTGTATTACTAGACGTACCAAAATTGAGCATCAGATCGGGATGAAACTTTGGCACAAAAAGGACAACTCTTTACTTTTTTATGAGTAAAAGATTTCAGAAAAAGTTGACTTAAGAAAATCGGGAGTCAGGGACATGCCAAGTCATATCCACCGACCCAATACTTGTGACTGGTATTTAGTACTCGAAATTGAAAGCCGAGACTAATAATAGGATCAATATTGGTTAGATAAAAAAAGATAAGTTTTTAAAAGTTCGTTATGCTTTTGGTTTCACTTTCATTTCAAGCATTTCATGATTTCAAATCGACTTGGCTTCTGTTCAGACCAACATGAAAGAGAAAAGCAAACAAGAAAATTGCCAGCGCGATTCATCTCGCCGAACCGGAAATTTCTATTCATAAATCGGATTATTATTTAAAATTACTCCAAAATGATTCAAGTTATTGTTTTCTGTACAATTTGTATTCAATTTTTGATAACAAATGCTTGTAGCGGTGGGAAGTTTGAGCAGCATGAAACAGAAGGTTAGTGAACAAGAATGCGCAGAATTTTTCTAACATTGGGTTGGTGAATTGAAAACTGTGGGACTTTGAACTAAAATTTATCCAACATAAAACCATGAATTCATTCCAAATAATTTCCATTATTATTGACCACTTCTGCCCATTTTACAGGCAATTTGCGGATTCTTCTTTCGTGGTAGGATTTTGGTTTTGAATCGAAAAACTTCCAAAGCCAATTTTTGACTGCTTCTTCCGAATCGAAGTGTTCTCCCGCAAGCTCATTACTCATGATCCGGAATAAATAGTAATCAAAAGGGGCGAGGTCCGGACTGTATGGGGGAATGCGCCAAAAGTCCCCAAACAAGGCCATTTATTTTAGAGCGAGTCAGTTTTGCAACATGAGGGCGCGTTGTCATTTTACAGGCAGACTTGCGGATTCCTCTTTCGTGGTAGGATTTTGGTTTGTGTGTGAGACAAGTGTGAGACTCAAAAATGGAGGACTGGAGATGTCCCAGTTTGAGCACTTTCTTCAAAAGAAACCTATTTTTGGTGTCAATAAAAAAGTTGTAGAGAATCAAAAATTAGGCTTATAGCCAAATTTTCAAAAAGATACACTTAGTAGTTTCGCTTAAAATGCAAGTTTTGTGAAAATTCGTAAATTTGGCATTTCTTGAAAACCAGTTTTTTAATCGTTCTGAAAATTTCGATATAAGCTTAATTTTTGATTCCCTACAACTTTTCCATTGGCACCGAAATGGGTTTCTTTTGAAGAAAGTGCTCAAACTGTGACATATGACAATAGCCGGCAGTTTTCAATTCACCAACCCAATATCTAACATTTACAATTTAAAACATCAATAAAAACTTATTTTTAGAACAAACCTGGAGAAAAGTCTGGCAAAATCTCCCAAGTAAAGCCGGCGATTTCCGTTCATTTCTGACTGGACTAAAGCCACTGGTGAACAAAGAAAAGTGGCGATTCGCTGTTTCGACTTTTGAAGCTAATTATGAGATTTTAGATGATCGTGAGTTAATAAATTCCATTAAAATTGACAAAATAAATTTTTTTCTAGCAACTGTTGACGATTCTGCTACAGCAAAAGCTCAAATGATTTATGATGAACTTCTCCTCTGGACACGAATGCAAAAAGATTGGATTGAGGATTTCTTAGAGTCGTATATGTGTACAAGTTAGTTTAACTCCAATTTTTGAACAGAAATGCTAATGTTTATAAGACTTTCAGACAAATTATGCAGAATGGTGAACACTTTCAAGAAATTGCGTGACTTTGTGTTGAGTGAGAAGGAACCGGAAGTGTTAGTGAAATCTTTTCGACAAAAACATCCCAATGTTGACTCTTCATTTCTCTATGATCACGCAAATGTGATTCAATTGATGATTTATGATGTGGATGATCCAGAAGTGAAAGATGAGGAGAAGAATCGACGACAGGGAAGGATGAGGGAGTTGAACACCTTGCTTGGAGGATATAAAGCAAAGAATGCGCTAAGCGAGTGTGATTTACCTGGTGAGATTTTAGTGACAAAGCTAGAACTTTTTTTAAATCAAAAATCACATTTCAATGTTTCAGAAGAAGTTCTCTGCTCTCTATTCACGAAAGCTGTAAAAGTTTTAACAGAGATTCTCGGCGAGGATCAGTTCAATCAGTTGTACGAAACGTTGATCGAGGGATATAAAATTTCTCAAAATCCTCAAGATATTCTACAATTATTTGGAGATGATGTCTCGGGTCGTGACATGCAAGATTACAACAACAGCTTCACAAATCTTGTTTATGTATTTGATAAAGTAAAAGGTTAGTTGATCAGGATAGTAGACTTACAATTAAAATCAGCTTTAATTCGGTTTTTTTCTGAAAAATCTGAAACACTAACCCTTCTATGTGATCTATGAGATTTACCTAAAAGTATTGTCCGGTTTTTAAAGGTTACTTCTTGAAATGAATAATAAACCAATCGATTTACGGTTTGTTTCATCAGAAAGTCCTATTATCTACTATCTATAAAGCAGAAGCGACGTCTGTCCGTCTATGTGTCCGTCCGTCTGTATGCCCATCCGTCTGTGTGTCCATCCGTCTGTGTGTCCGTCCGTCTGTCTGTCCGTCCGTCTGTCCGTCCGTCTGTTCGTCCGTCTGTCCGTCCGTCTGTCCGTCCGTCTGTCCGTCCTTCTGTCTGTCCTTCTGTCTGTCCTTCTGTCTGTCCGTTCGTCTGTCTGTCCATCCATCCGTTCGTCTGTCCTTCTGTGCGTAGCCATTGGCAAAAAGGGGCGGGGCTTAGATTGTTGGTGAGTTGGTGAGCGTTTTCCGCTGGTTTATTTACAAATTCTCCTTTAAGAAATTCCTGTTCGAATTTGCTTCAAAGCGGACTCAAATTTGCCTAAAAGAGCTAAATCTAATAGTGAATCTTTTTTATTTAAAACAAATCACACATTGATCGGCTAACTTTATTAACTTTATTCATTTATAAACGAAAATTTGAAAAAACGGACAAGACTTTCCGGCCAAAGCAATAACTATCGTAAATACTGTAAATCAAAGGCATGCTCTTCTATTTTTTTCCCTATCCTTTTTCGAACTCCCCAAAAAATCACATAAGGGGGACTATATAAAATTTTTTTCAAAAATCTTTCAAAATCACCCTAGCTCGATTGGAAATGCTCTAAAACAAACGACAAAACGTTTCAAACAAGAAAGTTTCTTTAGTCTTGGCCCCTGAAGGTGGGACTCTCGAAAATGGTAAGGGAATCCCTTACAATTTTTTTTTTCGAAAAAATATTTTGAAAAATTTTCTTTAGATCCTTTGAAATTTTACTGCCAACTCTTCTAGGCTATACATACGGCTCATATACATCATTCATATATAACATTCATATATAACATTCATATACATCATTCTAAGCACTTTTCAGCCAAGCTCTTTTTCAAAAGCAGTAACTTTTTGGGCGATCAATTTTGTATGGGAAGGGTGCCTTTCTAATACGGTATTTACGGTAATGCAAAGTCTCAAGATTCGACTTATTTTAGAAAAATTGAAATCAATATAACTAGATTTTTAGAAACTACCGGTAGCCTGGAAATTCTCGAAGCAAAATTGAGAAGACCGGAAGAAAAAAATTCTCGTTGCCGGTTTGTTGAGTAGAACAATTGCTCAGTTTAACTTTAGAACTTCTACCATCGGTAGCGACATCAGAGTACACAAAGGAAGAACTTTAGTTTTATTGAGAAATTTATTGCACTTTCTTTTGCTTATAAAGATTTTTCTTCCCAAAATTTGCTTGGAGTGAGCATGGAATTGAAATTCGAGCCTCACCCGCATCTCATCTAACATAGGTGCAAAGAAAACCAGACCAATTACGAATGAAAAAACAGAAAAGAATGTCTACTCGTCCCAGACTCATTAGACAACTTTTTTCTAGAATTTTTCTATTTAATTCAATCCTTGGAGATTTAAAAGAGTTGCGCTAAAATTCAAAATTGATGGACTCAGTTATGCAAGTGACTCGACCAGTTATCGGATGGGGAATCATTTTCTTCAATATTTTTGGTAACTTTGGAAATTTCAATATTTTATGGGCTTGCAAGAGAGGGAACTTGAAAGGGAAACATGGTGAGTGAAACTGGATAAGGAAGGAGAAGCTCTGTAATGATAAATTCAATTTCTGTAATGATAAATACAATTTCTGGGGAGTGGGACAAATGCGACCTTTTTTTTCCGTTCCGCACCCGGACATTTGCGCACCTTTTTTTCCGTACTTAGCCCATTAGCGCACCTTTTTTCGCGTTTTAAAAAAGCTCTAAAAGCTAATATTAACCAATTTCTATTCCAAAAGTTGTTTTTCTAGGTAATTTTAGGGCGTAGAATCGAAATTTTGGCATAAGAGAGCTTGTGGAAGCGAACGGACGGAGTTATCCAAAGAGAAAAATCAACAATTTTCTGTAATTTGCCGTTTTATCTTTCAAATTGGTTCCACAAGCTCTGATATGTCAAAATTTCGATTCTACGCCCTAAAATTACCTAGAAAACCAACTTTTGGAATAGAAATTGGTTAATATTAGCTTTTAGAGCTTTTTTAAAACGCGAAAAAAGGTGCGCTAATGGGCTAAGTGCGGAAAAAAAGGTCGCATTTGTCTCACCCCCCCAATTTCTGTAATGAAAAATCAATTTCTGTAATGATAGATTCAATTTCTGTAATGATAAGTACAATTTCTCTGTGAATTTTCCTTCGGAGAAGCATCTGAGATTCCCTTGCATACTTGTTTACTCATCCGATCAAATTCAGGTGTTTTACTCACAATGACAACATTCTTCCAATCAGTTTGTTTACTTTTCGAGTTTATTCAAGCATATTGTATGTTTTTTACGACAATGGTAAACCTTTTTGAAATCAAAGTCGAAAAAATCTTACCTCGAATCTCTATTCAAGTACTCAAGTTTAGATTACCCGACGTCTCTGTGTCACCGTTCAATCGCCTTACTTATTCACAATTTGTATGCAACAATTTCTTCTCCTTTTACTCTCAATCGATCTTGTCATATCGAGCTTAGCTCCAGCTTTGTTTGTTTTGCTGGATCTACTATAAAAAAAACAAAATGTCTGTCTGTCTGTTTGTCTCTACGAGCTTTTTCACGGCCATGTTTGACCAATAAAGCTAAAACTTCTTTAGAAAACATTAGAATACATTAGAATACATTGTAGTTGTGCCACTTAAAATAAAAACTGTGTAGTTTTCGTGTATTTTCGTAGTTTTTCTTGTGTAGTTTTCGGATATTTTGAAAGAATCCAGGTATTTTGAAAAAAATCCGCGTATTTTGAGCCGGTTGTCACGCTTTGAAGGCCTATAACTTTGTCCAGAGATAATATTTTTGCTAACTTTTTATGGCGAATAAATAGCCCGATTTCAGCCATCGCCGAACTCCAACTAAAATTTACTGTTTGTTGATGGCTTTACCAGCAGTTATCTTTTCGTCTTGGATGGAAGCTTTAGCAATTAGAGGAATTGATGATGGTAATTGTTCAAACCTAAAGAGAAAGAATTTGTCATAAGTTTTTCTTATTGAAAATGTGATTGTTTAGAAATTTTGTGGATTTGTAACCCACCAATCGCTTTTGCTCCAGAGCCTCGTAAAGTGTGGTTACGTGGTTGCGTGTGGATAAATGTGATAACATTTGCGCTGTATATGTTTTTGTTGATCAAGTTTCATGTTCAAGGTTGGTGAAGCTGATAAATGAATGCAAAGATCAGCAGTGAGTCATTTTCTCAAGCCAAGACAAAGCCAGGTCGTCTCAGGCTTTTAAATTTCTTCTTGGCGGGCTTAGCTTTTACTGTAATAGTACCCCACTCTCATAATAACGGTGCAGAGTGTTGCTAGCTTTGAACTCGCTTTTCACGACACTGGTTTAAGCTACAATTTGCGCTTATGTATCAAAAATAGTTTGTTTTAAGGTGATTTAGGGCTATTTTTTCATAAATTACAGTATTTATGGTAGGTGTTAGGCTTTACTTGGCTAGCCACAACTTTTCTTCACGCGGAAATAGTCCTTGTTTGGGGAGCTAGTCAAAACAGCGTCGTGTACAAACAGCGCCGGCCAAAATAATGCGCTTGCGGTTAAGTTTATTTGTGTTTCTTATTTTCATTAAATGTAGAAAAAAATTAGCTATTTGCTGAGTCTTTTGGAGCCGTTTAGAACAAATCTGGGATGAGAAAATGCCAAAAAACGGATAAAGGCCCAAAAAGAGATTGACTAAGCTTTTCTCGGCACCAATTCTGTTTTAAGTGATTCCAAAGTCTGCAAAATGTCGATAATTTTATTCCACATCTAATAAGAATAAGTAACACATAGAAACTTAACCACGGAGGCGCTAGTTTTGCCGTGGCGCTGTTTGTAAACGGCGCTGTTTTGATCAGCTTTCCTTGTTTGCTTGCTTTACCATCAAATGTTTTATTTATCATCGAATATTTCCAGCTTATCAAAAGAAAACTGCTCAGCAAGATATTTGCTTGGCTGAGAATCGATTAAAACATCAATGCTATGAGGAAAAGGTAGATTTATTTTGGAAATGGCATTTTCATAAATTTGTTTTTCAGGTAACTCGATCCCTTTCCGTATTAGTGATCTCTTTTGTTTTCTCTTGGTTTTTCGCTTTAATCGGAGCTGATGTCGTACAATTTTTGGGTCTTTCCGCTGAACTTGTGCCAGTTTTTCAAACTTACATGGTAAGAAATCTTGAAGAATTGAATAAACTTAATAAATGAATAAAATTCAGGTATTTCCAGCTATGTTAAGCTATTCATTGCCATATTATGTGCTCTTTGTTAATAGGTGATTTTGGCAACCCTTAGAAATTCGCAATTCTAATTTATTTCAGTGCTCATTTTCGGGAAATATTTACACTTCAACTCAAGCTTTTATTCAGGTATCTCGATTTGGGAAAATTTTAGAACAACTTCTAGAATTCCGATGGCGGCAAAGGAGAGAGAAGAGAGTCTGACTCGACCAGGCGAATCTCGATCGAGATTTTAAAAGTTTTTAATGTTTCAACTACCACAACTGGTGCTCTATTACATCTTGATCTTCTTGTTAATATTTTATTCAAACTCAAATAAACAATCGAATCTGACTGACTATGAGATGCATTGAAATTGCCAATTACTTTATTACAACAACAGCTTCACAAATCTTGTTTATGTATTTGATAAAGTGAAAAGGTTAGTTGATCAGGATAGTAGACTTACAATTAAAATCAGCTTTAATTCGGTTTTTTCTGAAAAATCTGAAACACTAACGCTTCCATGTGATCTATGAGATTTACTTAAAAGTATTGTCCGTTTTTTAAAGGTTACTTCTTGAAACGAATAAAAAAACAAACCAATTTATGGTTTGTTTTATCAGAAAGTCCTATTATCTACTATCTATAAAGCAGAAGAGACATCTGTTCGTCCGTCTTCTTGAAATGAATAATAAACCAATCGATTTATGGTTTGTTTTATCAGAAATTATTTTATTTCTGACACAATCCAATTTGATAACCCATTTTTAGATTAAAAATCGTTAAAAGCCCTCCAACATAATTTTGAATTATTTAGAATAAAAATTGAAACATAAAGACAAGCAAAGACATTTCAGCTTTAAAAATGAAAGATTTCATTAGCCAGTTTTTGTCGTTTTTCTTTTAGTCGTCTTGGGTGTTAGTGGCAATAGAGCTAATTTTTTAAAAATCTAATTGTAAGTGTTTACAGCTATTACAACATGATAAATTCCCTTTTCAGCTTTGCCACCAGAAAGAAGACATAATTATTGGCGTGAGAAAGTCGGCGAGTCTCATTTTAATCGACGACATTGTCATTGACCAGTAAATGGGAGATGACAAAAATAGTTGTAGAATAGCTGTAGAATGATTTTAGTTATCAGGGTTATTCTAACCGGGAGGACAAGTAACAAGGCAGGCCAAGAGCCCAGAGACTTTTTTGAGTCAAGTCTTCCGGAGAATCATCTCAGGACTGGCCAATATCCATTACAACCTTGCGCCAAACTGTAAGTAAACTGTACGCCAAACGCCAAACGATTCAGACTGTGAGCTTCGCTGTAAGTACCCTGATCTTGGGCAATGTCGGGACAAATTTGGAAAAAGTTCGGAATAAATTTTACTTTCCTTTTTGATGGAAAACATATTGTTCCAATGACATCTCGCCTGTACATGTTTTACGGCTGATTCATCTAAAAATGAACTTTAGAACTTTATTTAGCGCTTGTTTTGTTTTTGCCTAAAAAAGTGTTTTGATCTTTTGCATAATGACGTTTTTTTCTGTTGTTGAGGGACCGCTAAAATCAATTTGTTGTAAGCTCACCAAGAACACACTATTTTTGTTCTATAATAGCACAAGCACTGAGTCTAAATTGGGATTTGTAACAAAAACTGTAAACCGAATCTTTCCCTGAACTCTTTAAGACCTTTGGGTCTTAAAGAGTTCAGGGAAAGATTCGGAAAGACTCGAAATACAAACTCTTTAAGACCTTTGGGTCTTAAAGAGTTTGTAGTTCGAGAATTTCCTGTTCTTTGAAATCCAAAAACATTTTCATACTATAAGCTTAGAGTCAGGAAAATTCAAAAACATTTTAGCATGAAATTTCAATTTTAGCCTGAGTGGGTGTTTGAATTGAAAAAAGGCTTGTCTAGTGCGTGAACGAAAGCAAAAACGAAACAAAAACTGATTCTCTGCAAAAAAAATTCAATTGTTGACCAGAATTTTCACTTTTCAAACTAGAAACTTCAAATCAGCTGTGTAGTTTTGTGTCTCAAAAGTCCAATAATAGCAAAAATGTACCAACAAAAGTGGGGAACAATGGATTGGAGATCATCGTGTTCGATTGGATGACCAAAAATGAAGTGAAGTGGGTGGATTAGATGAATATAAATAGGGGATGGGTTTCAGAAAAGTATCGAAAAGTACTCTTTCTTCAAGATGAACAGCCTCATTTTGTTCTTTACTTTTGTCACCGGTTTGTGATTTAGATAACTACTTGACTACAAAAACTACAAAACTACTTGACTGATTTTTTAAGCTTTTTAATTCAACTCAGATTTGTAATGGAGATTTGGGTACTGAACTTTTGGAAAGTAAAAGTTCACGTAGTCCGTAGTAAACATAAAAAGTAAGTCCGTTGTACGGAAAGCTAAGGATTACGATAGACTACAATAGTTAACTACAGTTTGGTTCGACGATCTTTCTCTTATTCCAAACTTTCAGTGGCCACAGCAGCTTACACCGTGTTTGCTCCAGCTCTTCAGACCTACATTGTGAACGTATGCTGTAATCCTCAATATGAGTTTTCTTTGCTTTAGACTCACAACAATATTCGTTCAAATGTCGCTAAAGGATTAGTCGCTTGGAAAAATGGAATTGATGGAACGAAGAGACCGGCTGGACTGAAATATCCGAAGGCTACGAATATGTATCAATTGGTTAGTGGCAAATTGATGAAAGATGACCCTAAGATTGAATTTGCAGGTTTGGGATCCAACATTGGCTGCATCGGCTGGAAGAAGAGCTGCTTCAAAAAACAGCAGCGAGACGGCAACATATCCATACTTGAATGCTGTTCTCCCAGCTGGTGTCGGAGAAAATCACTATGGATTGGCTGTTGGACCAATGACGCCAGCAAACATGGCTCCGAAAACAAAATGTGAATAGTTATCAGCACACTTGAATCATTTTCTAACTCTATATTAACTCGATCACGTTTTAGTTGACAATGCTATGTCTCAATGGAGCTTCTACAAGAAATGGGGCCTTCCTAATATCAAATACACGAAGACCAGCGATCCGATCGCTTTCTCAGCCCAAGATAACTCTTATCAGGTACTAAACTAAACTTGTGCCAAGTATTGGCTGGATAATCTGTTTATTCGTTGATCTTATAGTTCTTTGCTGCAAACACCTATGCTATCGGTTGCGCTTTTGCCACCTATCAACCACAGGACAGCTTTGTTGTTGTCTGTCACTATAAAGCCAGGTGAGTTCAAGATTGGACGCTAAAATCTATCAAAATTGACAAAATACTTTGAATTTCAGAGGTTTGACTGTTGGAGTGCCAATCTACAAGAATGGAACGACTTGCTCGGCTTGCCCAGCCGGTTCGAAATGCGTTGTCGCTAAAGGACTTTGTGCAAAGAACTGATTGAATGTGTTTGTTTTCAAGAATTATAGTTGACCAATAAAGTCTAGAGCAACACATGATAAACATTTATTAGCAAGGAATTATTCGCATTCATTCAAAAATTCAAATTCAGTCAAGAATTTTGAAAACATCATTCTTTTCAAAACGGAATAATATTTTAGTTCGTTCCCCATCTAAACTTATGACTTTTGCAAACTCATTCAAAGTCGACAAACCTTTGAGCCGCACTACTCAGCGTTGGTTCAACTGTTAATACAGGATCTTTGATTCGAAAGATGTTCTTTCTCACAAAATCTCGATAAGGTTTCATAATCAATATTGAAACGATGCAGCTCATAGCCTAAAAGATGGTACCTTATTTCCTCTAATAAGCGCCTCTCCTTCGACCAATTTTAGACGCATCGTTCTCAGCTCTACTTTGAGATATTTTTATGTTTAATATACCAAAAGATAGCCCTTAATGTCTTCTTTCTTTTGGTATGTTAAATATGAAAATAACTGAAAATGAGGCTTAGAACGAGGCGTCTAAAGTTGGTCGCGGGGAGTTCGAGGCGTCGAGGGGTCTAAAGTCTAATAGCATTTATTAGAGGAAATACAGTAGTTATTTTGCTAATTAAACAGTTTACTGGATAAATTATTAATCCACTCGACATATAGTGCTTGTACACATTTGATGCCAGAATTGTGTGATCATTGATTGCAAGGCTGAAAGCCGTGAAAGCGACTGGGAGAACCAAGACGAAGATTGGGTAGATATTCTGTAAATCGAAAGATTTTTCTGCAAATTTTCTGTCACCTGTGAGGCTAACATGTAGAAAATTGATAGATGAGCCTTGTAGATTGACTTAGACATGAGAGCTTGATGAGCTCGCAATCCTCGAAGCAATTGCAATGAAGCCACGACGTTCACCAAATACATAAGAAGTAGACCAAAAATTAGGGTCTAAAATAGTTTGTTGTTGTTGTTGTTATTTTGTTTGTTAGACTAGGATATTATTCAGCTTTTAGGCTTTGCTTGAGGTTACCATTATGAAAACAGTTCCCGATGTGGAAGAAGTGTCGATACTCAACCAGACTGTATCTTTTTGAACCGCGTAAAAGGCAATATATTGATAGTCCCCAGTTGCGATCATTCGGTCAATGAATTGCTGTAAAAACTGATTTCATTATTCTGATGAAAAGAAAGACCTGTGGCTCTTCAAGTGCTAAATACATTGAGGTGATCAATGGAGCACCCATCACCATCTTTAAGCCCATTGTTATCGGAATACCTGAGAGATATTGATTTAGGCTAGTTAGTGCTTTATTTTTAGCTCAATAAGTTTACAAGTAATGCCTTTACAATCTGATTTCTTTTTTTTACTGTTGGAATCGACTCCCCGGAGTTTTCAGAGAGTCCGATAGTCTCGAAAGCTTTAAATCATCTGTAGATGATCTTGATCTTCAAGCTCTAGTGGATCCTTGATGTTATCGGTATCGGATTTACCGGTATTTAGCATTTACCATATAGAAATTTTTATAAAGCTACATAAGTTGACATATAAAGCTACATAAGTTGCTTGAAATTGATTAAATTTTGACTTATTTTGTAGCCAGAGTTTGTCCGAATTTGAATCTGTGATTAGTTTTTTGATATCTTTATTCAAAGTAGAGATATAAGTGCTTTTTCACAGCTGGCGGCACTGCTAAAAACCCCCGAAGGTGTTTAGCAAGCCCAGCTTTCATTTCATACCAATGTACGGCTTCGCACAAGCCCGAACAATGTGCTCTTGCCCGTTGAGAACCATCCCACGTATACGCACACAGTTATTGATCGAGAAAAATATTGACATTCCGAAGAAAAATGCACCTGCCATCTGTACGGAATTGTAAAAAATTTCTTTCGCTGCTTTACCCCAAAATGTGCTCCCCGTTGTCCAAAATAGTAAGCTAATCCAAGAACGGCAGCTCCGGAAGCTGGGAATAACGGATCACAGGCCAGGACACCACCGAGAAATATTGCAAAGAGTTCTTCCATTAGCTGTAAACAACAAACAAGAGATTAAAATTAACAGATTTCTAATTCTGATAAGAGCCTAGACTTTGATTACCACAACTTTGATAAAACAAGTTCTACAATCCAGCTAGCTTTGTGGCTTACCAATTGATTGCCAATTTGTTTCTAGAACTCAAACCCACCGCCAATTTGATAAGAAGCCATTTGAAATCCTTCATTTCTTTAGGAGAATGCTTTAATATCATCCACATCCAAAAGAATGAAAGAAGAGTAGAAATGGTGGATAGAACATGATAGAACATCCTGGCACCGGGTTCTTCTATCATTGGTTGAATCAAATCGTTTCAAATCCCAAAGTTGAATTTGTTAGCTGGTTTTGACTCTAATATGATCACTTTTCATAAATCTTTGTTTATAGAAAGAAAACTTGTAGGCAGGTGCTTTTGAAAGGCTGATGAGTGTACATGTAAAGCAAAGGATTTGTAAAACGAGGTATTTCAACAAATGTTCAGCTACGTGGGCGTAAAAGATTTTAACAATGTTTTACTTTTACTGAATAGGTGCTAAATAGGTACCAAATAGGTACCAAAAAATAGCAAATAGATAGGTGTCACAGATTGCCGTAAACTGAAAAAACTCGTTTCCAAGACCAGGCACAGTAAACCAAAAAGTAATTAAACAATTTGATCATTAAATTTGCTTGTTGTTCAAAGAAAAACAGTTTATTTAAATAGAAATGTTCTAATTTTTTTCAATTTTGATTTTTCCGGTTACATGAGTGGCTTTTTGCAGACGAAAACTTTCGACGTTGTTTCACAGTTCTTTGCAATCCATTTTCCCAACTTAAAATCAGCTGGAGAGTTGTTGTTGTTGCTCGATAACTAAAAGCACAAAAATAACTCACAAGGGAAGGTTGTCTGGCCCAGATAACTGATCAAAATGTAATCTATGCCATTCGACGCAGGATTTCACGCTGATTCCGAATCTGCTTTCCCTTTTTTGCAAAATGGCACTTTATAAAAAGTTATGAGCACTCTAACTTTTACAAAGAATTTTCTAGTTTCAACAAAAAAGGGTCAGTTTATTGTCGTCGTTTATTGTGAGATCATAGACGAGTTTATTGCAATACAGAAAACGGAAGTCGTGGTCAAGTGGTAGTGAACTAAAATGCAAAGCGAAAGCTCTCTGGTTCAACTCCCCAACAAGAATATTTTATTTTGTTTTAACCTTTAAAGTTAAAGTTTTTTGCTTTAACCAACTTGAGTGTTCTCCTTTCTAAAAACAATCCTCTTTTACTCTATTTTCACACAAAAAAAATTGATTTTAACAAATAAAAACAAGATAAATTAACAATGGCAGAAAAGAAACATTCTTGGTAGAGACTCGAACCAGAGAGCCTCCACTTCACATTCTAGTTCACTGCCCCTTCACCACGACTTCTGCTTGTGTATTGCGGTAAATTCGACTATAATGTCCCTTATCTTTTTTAGTTGGAAATAGAAAATTCCTTGTAAAAGTTAGAGCGCTCATAACTTTTGATAGAATGTCATTTTGCAAAAACCGAAAGCAGATTCAGAATCAGCATGAAATTCTGCGTCGATTGGTTTATCACCCAGTTGACCTTCCCTTGGAAATATCACGTAAACGCAAGGAATCTGGCTTAGGTAGTCGTGTAGTCGTTACTGTTTTACTGATTTGAACATTCAATGATAAACTAAACTATTATAGCTCATTCGATAGCGCTGAATCTCCTCTTGAAAACTAGTACAAAATTACCGAGAACTTTCTGCAAAATAAATAACAAAAGCACTCAAAAACTTGAGTTAAGACCAAAAATAATCGTCATTAGTACGGCCCACCAGTGAGTTGGATTATCGTGAATGAGTTAATCTACTTAAACAGGTACAGTCGACTCTCTCTATGACGGAATAAAAGGGACCAAATAATTTTTCCATTATATAGATCTTTCCGTTATCTAGAGTGCCGTTTTATATAGCTTAACGTCGGCGGGGACCAAAATTCCATTCCTTTATATAGAGTTTTCCGTTATATAGAATTCTGTTATAGAGAGAGTCAACTGTATGTAGATTTAAAAATCTTTAAACACGTTTTACTTAAAACAAAACCAAATCAAAAAATTACTTGAAGGCAATTTAGACCTTGACCAGCGGGGACATTGGTTAGGTAACCCGCGAAATCCGCAAACGGATCAAAATCGGTCCAGGCCCAGCCGCCGACTACTTCTGACTAAAGTAATGTTGCTCTGTTCTAACCTATTCGAACTAACTATCATTCCACCGATCCATGGCTGCTCTTTATCAATATTTTTCTTTGCAGCAAGGTCTAAAAAGCTTTTAATTGAAAAAAAATTATCTTTTTTACCCGTGACGAGTTTGTTTTCTTCTTCTGAACGAATTGAGGCAAGATGTCCGTCCTTAGCCCAATGATTGCATTTTCCTTCGGCGTGCCAAAAAGTGATCCCGATGTCTTCAGTCATCAGCTAAGTTTGCATTTATAGTTAGTCTTTCAAAAAATTGCTATAATAAATATTAAAACTCTAATAAAGCTGGAAATTCCTTCTTCTGCTCGAAGGTTTAATGATTGGTTCAATGTCTTGTTCAATGTTCAATATTGTTCAATGAATGTTTCTAAAAATTACCAGATAGCAAGTGGCTTTCCAAGTTTCTGAATTCTTGGGACATTTCGGTACAATCGGAGTAGATGTCGTTTGATCGGGTGCTTGGGTCGTTTGAATGGGTGCTTGTGTCGTTTCAACGGGTTTTTGTGTCGTTTGAACAGGTTCCTGTGTCGTTTGAATGGGTTCTTGTGTCGTTTGGATGGGTTCTTGTGTTGTTTGAATGGGTTCTTCTGTCGTTTCAACGGGTTCTTGTGTCGTTTCAACGGGTTCTTGTGTTGTTTGAATGGGTTCTTGTGTCGTTTGAATGGGTGCTTGTGTTGTTTCAACGGGTTCTTGTGTCGTTTGGACGGGTTCTTGTGTCGTTTGAACAGGTTCCTGTGTCGTTTGAATGGGTTCTTGTGTCGTTTCAACGGGTTCTTGTGTTGTTTGAATGGGTTCTTCTGTCGTTTCAACGGGTTCTTGTGTCGTTTGAATGGGCGTTGGTTGAGGAGACGGTAAATTCGGTGGAAAAATTGGGTTTAGTCCTTGCCCTTGATTGTATATCTCTGGCTGTTGATAAGTAGACTGCTGTTGATTTTGATAAGTAGATTGTGACTGTCCTTGGTAAACGTTAAAGTTTCTGGCATATCCTGGTCGATAATAAGTCGAGTACCCGAATCGATATCCGAAATTCTGATTGTTTGGGTAATCATTGCCACATCCGGTGTTCTAAACATTGAATAAATAGTACAAGTTCTCTATCTTCTTAATTAGGGAATTACAAAATAACAATAACAGTAACAATAATGAGAAAGCTCCAGAGCACACAATGGAAATTTCTGTATTTATGTGATGTCAAGCTGTAATCGAGCTGTAAAGCGGTAAATCAAGCTGTAAAGGATTTGCTACTAAATATTGAAATTTCCATTGTGTGCTCTGGAGTTTTCTCATTATTGTTACCTTTTTTGTTACTTCTTCATGTACTACATTTTTGTTAAATATTTGTTTTCCAGCTTCTTCCTCGCTTGACCGCTCAAGAAGTGAGAATTTCACAAATGTGGCTTTTTTTGCTATGAAACTGTGATACAATTTACAAATATTGATTATTCTAAGGTAAATTTCTGCGTAGATTCCAAAAATCGTATTTTCAGAGCGATTCCAGCACTTTATCATAAAGAAAAACAGCTTTGCAAATCAAAAATTTTGAGTATCCCATCTCGTGCGCACTGAAATGCGTCAAAAATATATTAGTGTTTCTAAATATTAGTGTTACCATTGGGTAACCCTTGAAATGAGCTTGCAGAAAATGTATAACACTAATAGTTTAAACTCAAAGACAAGGGAGCTACAAAGTGACGATCGTTTTTCAAATATGATATTTCATTGTCCAGTACTGTATCTCTATCTCTAATCTTAGAATTTGAATGGTTTATTGTAAAAGATACAATCAAATCTCTCTATAAATTGAAAAATTCAAATTGAATAACTTACTGCAAAAATCCCAATAACAGAATAAGTCAAGAAAAGAAACCATTTGCGCATTTTAGAATGATAATGAAGGATGGAATCTTCTTGTTTTCAATCCTTTTCATTTTATATAAAGCAACTGAAATACTCGACAAGCTCGGCAAACAATCGAATCATTGAATCACTTCTCTAAAGAATTTGTGAACAAAAAAACCCTTATACATTCATTTTGGGGTTTTTTCGAAGAATTCCGGTCCTATTACGATAGAAAAAAGACTCGCTTACTACAGTCCGTTTCATATTTCTTTATCCACCCCCCAAAAAGAAGTTTTATGGAGAATGGGTGGAGATATCGAGCCATTTTCTTTTGCAATAGAAAGGCCATATTGTAAAACCCTAAAAACACCGTTAACCGGTCCGGTGCTATATCAGATTATTAGTTGTTATGTTCACAATTCTTGATGTCTTTTTTATTTATTGTTAATGCTAAATAAATGTTGATTTTCAAAGTTCCTAATGGTGGATAAAGAAATATGAAACGGTCGCAGAATTTTCTTTTTTATTTTTTCTGGTTGAGAAAATCCAGTAACCCAAAAACGGTGTTTTTAGGGTTTTACAATATGGCTTTTCTATTGCAAAAGAAAATAGTTCGATATCTCCACCCATTCTCCATCAAAACTCTTTTTGGGGGTGGATAAAGAATTATGAAACGGATTGTATTATATGCACGTATAATGAAATAAAAGTGTAAACAAAATCCTTTATTTCAATGCTTTTGAATAATTTAGCGTAAACAAATTTTCAATTTCAACAATTTCTCTTTGAATCCAATTAGAGTTGCTGTGGTCTCTTGCAGACAGCCGCTTGATATCCAATATTGCATTGGAGATCATCCCAGGTTTGGAATTGGAACCACCATGGTGGATTAGCGCCGAATTGAGAGCTCAGGACCTGAATGAGAATTTGACTATATAATAAATGGCATTTGATTTTATTAACTCTAATTGTAAATATGATTTAAGTAATACGGATTCTAGTGTCTGCTACTTGAAAATTCCAGCTCATTGAAATTGAAATTCCTTGAAATTCATTGAATTCCAGTTGTTTGAAAGATCTTGGTAGCTTAGTAAACATTTCAATTAAACCAATTAGCCACTTCAATTTAGCCATAAATCATTTCTCACTTGAATACATCCCTGAATACCATTCTGATTGTTTGGATTGCTGGCACTCCAATTCGTGTAATCCCACGGGGTATTGTCACTCCATTTCCAGTCTCCCGAATGTGGTCCAGTCTTAAACCCGTTTGAGATTCAAAATTCTTGTCCAAAAGCTACCCTTTGTCCACCGATCAATGTCTGAATGTCACCAATTGGTTTGCCTTGATTGGAGAGTTCTGAAAGTTAAGTGATTACAAGAATTCTGACTTTTCAAACCCATCATGTACTTGTCCTCGGCAGCTGAGTGAATAGAGGCAAGTTGTCCGCCCAATTCTTTACACTTTTGGTCTCCTTGGTCAAATGTGAAGCCTCCAGTTTGAGTGATCACCTGAATTTAGAGCTCAGATCGATTATGCCTTGATCAAGTCACACAAATTCTTATTGTGTGACTTGTACTACCTTGTAGCAACTATCGAAAGCTGGTCCACTCCAGTCCGCCGAGCAATATGGTACTTTTGCAGGCTGTGGAGAAGGTGGAGTTGTTGGTTGTTGTTTAGGAAGAACAATCTTGCATACAGCGTTTACAAATTTGGCAGTGCATGGAATATCATCCCATTGTTTATATTCGTTGATTGGGTGGATGGCTGTTGAGTTGGTTGACCATAACTGTAGGGATTTGGTTTGGAATTCTTTAGCCTTATAAATACTTGGAGACATTGTTTTGCATCATCAGTGTTAGCCAAATTTTTGTAGTCGAATGGTGTTCCATCACTCCATGTCCAAGTACCATTTGGCTAAATTACAATTGTTTGAGATAAAGGTCCAGCATTCAAACCCTTTGCCCGCCGATGAGTGTCTGATATCGAGTAACTGTTCCAGGCGCAGCCGAGAGCTCTAAATTTGCTTTGAATCTCGAAATGTAAACGTTAAAAACCGAGAACAACTCGATCTTCTTCAGCTGAATGAATTGAAGTCAGTTGGCCACCGGCAGTCTTGCACGCAGTATCAGCTTCAGCAAAAGTTAGTCCACCGGTTTGAGTCACAGCCTAGAAACTATTCATTGAAACTTGAGTTGATCTTAGCAATAAAATGTGCATAAATATTAGAGCTAGTACCTTGTAACAATTTCCAAGATTTTGAGCGTAGTACCAGGTAGGTGGGCAAGTTGGAGCTGGAGGGGCTGATGGTTGAACAGGAGCTGGGGTTGATGCTTGTCCTTGATTTCCACCAAAAGAGATTTTGCACACAGCGTTTACAAATTTGGCAGTGCATGGAATATCATCCCATTGTTTATATTCGTTGATTGGGTGGATGGCTGTCGAATTAGTTGACCACAACTATAGGAATTTGATTTTACAGTCGTTAGCTTGATAAAATACTTGAAGACATTGTTTTGCATCATCAGTGTTGGCAAAGTTCTTGTAGTCAAATGGAGTTCCATCACTCCAAGTCCATGTTCCATTTGGCTGAAAGTATAACGATATTTGCTTCAGTCAGAGCGATGATTGTCTTACTCTATATCCACCAATGAGTGTCTGGAGTCGAGTAACTGTTCCAGGCATGGCTCCAAGTTCTAGAAAAGATAATTCTGGAAAGAATTTAAATCCAAACCAAGGACAATCCGATCTTCCTCAGCTGAATGGATCGAAGTCAATTGGCCACCGGCAGTCTTGCACATAGCATCAGCTTCAGCAAAGGTGAGTCCACCGGTTTGAGTTACGGCCTAGAAATGTTTAGCTTATGGACTTATTACTATCATTTTCCTATCATAAATAAAGATTTCTCAGTAAATGAGTCAATTACCTTGTAGCAATTTCCGAGGGTTTGTGCGTAGTACCAGGTAGGTGGGCAAGTTGGAGCTGGAGGGGCTGATGGTTGAACAGGAGCTGGGGTTGATGCTTGTCCTTGATTTCCACCAAGAGAGATTTTGCACACAGCGTTTACGAATTTGGCAGTGCATGGAATATCATCCCATTGTTTATATTCGTTGATTGGGTGAATGGCTGTCGAATTAGTTGACCACAACTATAGGAATTTGTTTTTAGAAACGTTAGCTTGATAAAATACTTGAAGACATTGTTTTGCATCATCAGTCTTGGCAAAGTTCTTGTAGTCAAATGGAGTTCCATCGCTCCAAGTCCATGTCCCATTTGGCTAGAATAGTCATGGTGTTTACTTGAGTCAGACTGATTTTTTTTCTTACTCTATATCCACCAATGAGTGTCTGGAGTCGGGTGACTGTTCCAGGCATGGCTCCAAGTTCTAGAAAAGATAGTTCTGGATTGAATTTATCATATCAGTCAAAGAATCAAAGAATTTAAATCCAAACCAAGGACAATCCGATCTTCCTCAGCTGAGTGAATCGAAGTCAATTGGCCGCCAGCAGATTTGCATGTTGCATCAGCTTCAGCAAAAGTGAAACCACCAGGTTGAGTCACGGCCTATTTAGTCATTGGAAAGTGAATCATTACTAGTCAAACTTTGTAGCAATTGTTAAGCGTTTGTGAGTAGTACCATCCATCTGGACAAGTTGCGTCAGAGCATTCGTCAGTCTAAGCAATCTCATCAGTAAAACTATCAAAGCAAGACTTTGAAAGGTTTTGAGAACTCAAGTAAACTTTAAAGATAAGCCAGCTGAGCAACTTACCGCGAATACCCCAACGAGAAGACCCGTTAAGAATAGAAAGCGTTTGAGCATGTTATGAGTGTTCAAGTTTGGCTTCAGAGAACTGTACTCTTTACACTTCAAATCTTCCTTTTATATGGATGAACTGACAGCTCGGTAAACATTAAAAATGAAAACTTTTTGGAATTCAGAAACAAAAAGGTGTCATTTAAGCAGAATTTGGCAAAATCACATCGTTATTTCAATTGAAGAAAAGCTATTTTAGTGATCAGAATTTAATAGTTAGAGTTGTTATTGATTTTGAGTAACTTTTGAGTCGTCACACGATCAGTGCAATATGGAATGATTAGTTACAGCAATCAGGGTTCACTTTATCTTTAGAATATGGGTTTAAAAATTTTAAATGTTTGAATTATCCGATTCATGCAATTCCGCCTTAAACCAGTTCAAAATTTGTTTTGTGAGTAGAAACGTAGAAAGAATAAGTAGAAACGACTTTTGCCCTTTCCCACCTTGCCCATTAAACAACTTTTTATAATGGAACTGTTTTCCGAGAAAACCTCGATATTTTCCAGAACAAGGAAAGAAATTGTCATAACAATTTCTATTCAACTCATAATGGTAAAATCCACTGATAAACCAGTGGATTTTACCTTATAAAGTAACTAAGGACAAGATCCACCGGTTTTCCAGTGGATTTCACCTTATAAAGCGACTCTCGGTTCGGGCAAACATCCACTAGGAGAAATTATCATTTACAGTTGGCTAAGGTTTTCTGATATCTTTCTTGTTATGCTAATATTTATTGTCGGTACTTTTACATTTTAATTTGCGTGCACATCCTGTGCAAAAATTCTAATCTCTGACCAAAATCTACCCTAGGAAGTTGATTTTTTAGCAAAAAACACTGTGTCAGAGTCCAAAACTTAAAACGTGGCAGAGTACATGGCCCGATATTGAAAAACCATCAAAATTGTGCCTAGCTTTGTTGAAAATTTACCTATTCTTAGACTCAAAAAATGAGGGTCGAACGTTTTTTTGTGAGATTTGTACTGAAAGAGGTCCCTATGTGTAGCTCAAAACGAAATCCGTTTCCATTTTACCAATTTGTGAATTTTTAAAGCCTGTTGTTGTTCTGTTGAAGAGATGTTGTTATTGTGTTCACAAGAGAAGCTTTTTGCCCGAAAATCTTTCAAAAGAAGAGCCAGGAGGTTTTCCTCTTGACTAGGCAAAGTTTGGTTTACTTGGAACTTGCCTTTTATTTTGATAAACTCCTAATCAGAATGAAACGAGTTAGAAATAAAACTTGGCTTTAAACAATGAAATTTTGAGCTTGCAATAAAAAACATTTCATGTGATCGATTCCCATCGATTTCAAGAACTATTGTACTCAACCATCTTCTCCAATGTTTTTTTTTTCTTTTAAGTTTGAGTTCTAAATTTTTCACAATTTCTAGACTTTTACTAAGTTTACTATGATATTTGGGAATAGCTCTTTAAAATTCTTTCCTATTTTTCTCAAAAATTTTGTTTATAATTCAGATGACTAGGAAAAGAAAGTCATCTTCAGGAAAGAGATTGACATCTCAAAATTCTTGTCGATTTCAACCTATAAACCAACTAAGGACAAAATCCACCGGTTTTCCAGTGGCTTTTAACTTGTAAAGCAACTAAGGGCAAAATCCACTGGTTTTTCAGTGGACTTCACCCTATAAATCAACCAAGGACAAAATCCACTGGAAAACCAGTGGATTTTACTTTATAAAGAAACTAAAGGCAAAATCCACTGATAAACCAGTGGATTTTAACTTGTAAAGCAACTATCGGTTCGGGCAAACATCCACTAGGAGAAATTATCATTTACAGTTGGCTAAGGTTTTCTAATAAATCTTTCTTGTTATGCTAATATTTATTGTCGGTTCTTTTACATTTTAATTTGTGTGCACATCCTTTAGCCATCGTCTCTCCCATTGGCGCATTTATCCACATCTGTGCAATACCGCGGACCCTTCCCTTCGGTATTCGACCAGCAGCAAACCTTTTCCTGCGGGCAAAATTGCTCTTCTCCGCGACATTTTCGCGGAAAACCTTTCTAAATTATCTTTTCACTTTTCATTTACCAATACAATTCGTATTTATCATTTGAAGAACTCAAAAAACATACCAAAGCCATTGAAGTGACAACAAAGGAAATCAAAAAGAGTAAGAAAAAGAGTTTCATCGTTTTTTTGACAAAGTGTTTGTCTATTTTCAGTCTATTTATAGGGGAAAATGATTCAAACTTCTGTTTTTAGGAAAAGAAACCTCATGGGACTCCATAGTACCATTTAACTAATATTATTTGACAAAGCTGACTCATAGTTTTGTCTAAAAGCGAGAAAACGTTCAACAAAAATAGTTGACAAGTCCTTTTTCATGACATTCAACCGAAAAAAATAGATTGACGACGCTTTCATCATCTCAAAAGCACTTTGAGGCTTTTTAAACGTGTCATGCAAGTCCTTATTGTTGACAAAAGCTTGAAGGCATCATGGTCATTGCACCCTACTTTTATAAGCTAACACATTTATATTTATAGCTTTTATAAGCTATTAGATTTGCGACAGAGCCATTTTTAGCTATCTGGTGAAAAATGAAAGCCCTCGGATGCAAATTTCCAAACTAATCAGTAAATTCAAATGCTCAAAACAGTGTTTGGGCCATGCTTGCTTTTCAACTCTATATTGATCTTTCCCATTTCCAATCTTAGAATTAAAATTGCTTATAGTGACCAGCTCAAATCGAAGAGTTTCATCGTTTTTGACTGCTCGACTTCACACCTTAAAAAATCAACTAACGCGAGTTTTTAAGAATTTCTTAAAAAGCAATTTGTAAATAAATAGGATTTCCGATAAAACAAATCATAGATCAATTGGTTTATTATTCATTTTTAAAAAGTAACCTTTAAAAAAGCAGACAAGACTTTGCGATCAATCTGGTAATCTTTCTATTTCGATTAAGCAAACAATAGCTTTGCTTTTGTAACGTATGAAAACTGTATTCATTTTGAACAAGTGCAAAAAGAGAAAAGAAACATGATCAGCGTGCACAAAAACGACTTTAAACTATCGAAAAAAGTTTCGATCATAAAATGCAAAGAGTCATAAATAGGCTATGTACATCCCTCGAGTAATGCCTATTTCTAAAAGGCACCTATTTCACGAATATAAGCAACCAATCAGTTTTGACCAATCACTTCAATTTTGGTGTCATTGCCTGAGCATTGAAATTCCTCATTCAGTGATACGAAAGTTGAGATGATTGAGTCAAAACTGATTGATTACGACAGTTGCGTAAAATAGGTACCTTTCAGAAAGTGCATTACTCGAAGTGTACACACTCTATTCATAACACACAGCTGACTTGCTATGAGAAAAATAAAATGTAATGTTTCCGTCAACATTCTAATATGTGTCAACAACACATCATTCTTGGTTTATAATGGGAAAATCTGGCTTCAGGCTTCAAAAAAGCACGAACTCGTATCAAACCCTTGTAATCCTTGACGAATTTTTCATATTTTGCTCGATTTTTTTCTTGGTGAAAGACCTGAAATTTTGAGATTATTAATCTGGTCGTATCTTTTGTGTTTAGCATATTTACGGTAGTTTTCTTTTGTTTTCTCCTTGTAAACTGTTCTTCGCTCACCTGAAATTTTGCTTTTTGTCTGTCGAGAAGGTGATCGAGGATGACACGATGAATGTAGAGATATTGCTGAAGATTCACTTAGGTTTTTTTATGAAAAAAATAAATGTAATCAGAGTTTTTAATCCGATTAACTCATTAAATAAATAAAATGAGCGCTGTTGACGCTTGAATTCTGATTAAGAAATCCTCAAAAGTTAGATGATTGGGTTAATAGAAACCTATAAATCAATTAACGTTTTGCTTTTAGGTAAGTCAGATTCTAATTTAAAAATAGACCAAAAAATGAAAAACAGCTCAAAATTGAAACCTCGCAAGATTTTTGAAAACTTAGAAACACGACCATCTAACCCAACTAACCAAATCGAAGAGAATCGACCACAGCCGGTATGATCGAAGTTCTTTCATTAGATCGCACATTGGAGGGATTCCGGTTTTCAGGTTGCTGCATTCCAATAAATATCTAAAAGTGAAATGATAAATTCATGCGCTGATTTAATACTTTCACTCACTCGATAGCCACCAAAATCGACGTTCTTCCCGTCCCACCACCACAATGCATCACGATCGGTTTTGTGAACCGCGAATTTGGGAAAGTAGTTCCTGAATCACTCAAAAACTATGCAGATTAAGTAGATAAAGTGCTTTTCAGGTTTTTTAGCAATCAATCATCAATAAATACCTTAAAATCACCACAAGCCATCTTGAAAAAACAGAATAGCTTTCTTACAATAGAAACTAGACTTTCATAACGAGACAGATCAGAAAATTGCTAGGCACTTGATCTAGCCTCCAGCGTATCGGATTCGAATAAACCTTTTTATTTAAAAGTCAAGATTTTAAGCTATCTAATGATATTCATTACTAATGTTTTTCTTTTGAAAAGGTAAGTCAAAAACCTTATTGAGACTTAACAAGACAATTCCTCGTTATCCGTTACCGTCTCAATAAGGTTTTTTACTCACCTTTTTGAAAGAAAAACATTAGTGTTCAATATCATTAAATCTTGGCTTTTAAATAAAAAAAGAAAATTGGAATCCGATACTCCGAGGCTAGATCAAACGCCGGAAGTTGCGCGACCCATTTATCTCGTTAATTCTCGTTTAGCAAGTCTGGTAGAAACTATGAATCGTAAAAATATTGGATTCAAAAATAAAGATTGCTTTAATTTACCACCCTTGTTATCAACAAAGTTATTTAATTTGTTAAAAACTCACGATTGGAGTCCGCAAACAGCTCGGAACTTCCCCTTCTTGCCAACCTTCCCACATAAAGTGTCGGATCTGAAAGAAATCTTTAAGCTAAATACTGAAAAATACCATTCGATGCTCCTTTTTTCCATCGTTGTTATATATAATTTTAAAAGTCGCAACTTTTAGCCATGACATTTCGTCGATTATTTGATGATGAGCCTGAAGAGTTAGTCAATGCATCGAGCTAATCTTGAACTAACCTCAACATTTGTGATTTCAAGCTTTTCAGTGATGCTCATTGTCTGGTTTTCATTTCTTGGAAAATACTAAAATGATGAGTTTGAAGTTCCGATCACACACAAAACCTGAGCACATTTTGTGTAACCCTCGTTGTCGACGAAATCACATAACATGACGATTGTATCAGATTCCTCTTGAAGCATCATCAACCTTAACCCACTTGCCATAAGGTTTTTCAATTTTTTCTTGGTTTTTTGATCTTTAAACAAGTCTACAAAAGTTCAAGCTTTTTAGAAAGTGGGCTTTTTCAAGAAACGCAAAAAGGCCAAAACTTAAGTTCGTAAAACGGCCATAAAATCTTGCACCTCCAACCAATTTGCTTTTTTCAAATATTCTCAAAATAGACACCTTCAGCTTTCTTTCGATTATTGTAAGTCATATGAAATTTGTTAGAAATGCTCAAGTTTTAGAAAGGGAAAGGTATGAAAATCTCAAAATGAAGACCAAGGTTTGAAGGCTTTTACTTTGAAAAAAGTTCACTATAGAAGAAAATTTGTCTGATAATTTTTATTTTACAATCTTTTTTAAACATTTTACTTCAAAAAGTAATTAAAAATAATCATTCTGCGCAAAGTTCTAACTTTTTTCTTGTCGTACTCAGAGATAGGGTCCTGTTTTCTAAGACACGCTTCAATTACCGTACCCCTGAATGCCCTCAGTGTTAATTATATGCCCGTTTTTAAAATAAGAAGAAGGAATAAGAAACTAGCTTATAAACAAGGCAAGTTAAGTAAGCTTCATAATTGAGTAGCCGACCAACCAAAAATCGGCAATCGTCCTGTCAAGAGGCCCCTGAGTACAAATGAAACGTCTCTCGGAACTCGGCGTTGCCACATAATTTGCATGAATATATTTATTTTGAGCGTCTTTATGAGTGATCACAACCCGATGTGCATCTCCACAAGTTTGACCACCAGAACTGAAAAAACTATGGGTCAATATCAAAGGCGATGAGACAGCTCAAAATCAAATGTGAAGTTTAACCAGTTACATTTTTACTCAAAAACTCTAAGCAAATATTAGTTTATGAGTTCGGTGATTGCCTTCTTTCGTGGGATCAGTTTTGAAAAGCCCATTGTACTGTTTCCTTCTACCATTGTATCTATCGCACAGTTGCATATTTTCGTAACTTATTGTTAACTTATCATAAGACATAAGCCCTATCCTCGGGATCCGAGCGTCAGGATCACGTGTAAAGTCTGTACATCTCGAGCACTTTCTAAAAGGCACCTATTTTACGAAAATACCGTAATCAAGCAGTCAGTTCCGACTCAATCAGTACAATTTTGATACCATTCCTTCTCAAGGTTTTTTGATATTTGAAAAAACACGGTAGAATAGAAAGATTGCGAAATTTCTTTCGTAATCAAGAAAGACGATTGCTGAACCCAGATTTTGGTACTTTGGGCCTAACGGGTGCCAGACTCCACTTTTTCAGAATTGACTATGCTGAACCGATTGGAAAGACTTTAGGGAAGTTGAGAATAACTTTTTATATGTCACTTTCTCACATTAACCTTGTCACTGTGTAGAACAAAGCTACAGAGACATTACTTGGTCAAATGATCCAGATCATATCCCAAAACACTTTCAACTTTTCGAACGTGTTTTTAATCAATTTTGCATAATTTATTACGCTGAAAAGTTCATATAAAGCCTAGAAAAGGTAGAATGAGAACTGATCAAAAAATGTCTGATCAATGACTCCTCCAACCCGAAAAGTACCCAAATTTTAAACGTTAAACCAACCGGTTTCTACTCCCATTTGCTATGTAGGCGCGAGTTGAAGTCCCATCAGGTATCCAGTCGGAAAGCTGCTCAAATTCTTCTCGAAGCTCAGAAACTCCCATGTCTAGAGCATATTGCATCCATCCGTCGAGCTAATTCGAAGTTTATGTAGCTCTTAAAAAAGCCTTACCACTTTTGCATTTCGAAGTGCCCAACAGCGAAGTGATTTCGTCACTTTCAACAACTTCAGCGTTTCCACAACGCCCAACTTTTTCAGTGTTTCATCTTGAATCTCTGCCGAAAGCCGGAGAGGAAACAAGGTTCGCTTCTTTCTACAGAGTTACTAACGCACACGTTTAAGGTTGAATTTTACCTGTCCTCTTTCTCCATCAACATCTTTATCTCCTGTTCATCTGGCAAAACTCTCTGTCTTTTTATTGGCTCAGAATCGTAAATATACCTTTCCTTTGTAGGGAACACACTGAACCACTGAAAACGTTTTTGAACCTTCTTTATGCCAATTTAACAAGTTACTCACAGAATATGGTGGTCCCATACTACGTCAGCAAAAAAAACACGAGTAATAAGATTCCCAATAGAATAGGAGCTTAAAAATTCAATACAATTAGCAGAAATCCAGCATCAATGCGAATCTCTATTGACTACGAATCTCTATTGTCTCTATTGATTTCTAGATTACGAAAACGGAAATTACAATTTCCGTTTTCGAAATGGAAATTTTCCTAAAAGAAAAATATGCATATATCAGTGATAATTTCTACTTGATGAAAACGCTTTTCACTCTTCACATTCACAAACTAAATCTGAAGGGGGAAATGAACAAAGATCAGAGTTCAAGTGAACTTAAAGCGCTTCGAAAATCTTTCCGAGCATGGTCAAATTACCGCAGGAAAATCTGAAGAGTTCCAAAAAAGTGTTCGTTAATCTTGTGTTCACTTTATCATCATTTGCTGCTGAATTTGTAATAAAGAATTTTTCTTTAAGAGATAATTTTGAGAGATTAACTTATCTTACAACTCGTAGGTTGTTTCTTGCATCCAAATTGGAAATATGAAATGGCGGCGTCTTCGGACAAGCTTTTGAAAAAAACTAAACCATAACCTTTTCTCAAATTTCTTCCTAATAACAATTGAAGTTTTGTTGATTATATATTATGATTGATTATTGATCTCGATCTGATGCACAGTTTTTAAAAAATGAGAAAGGAGCACGGTTTAGAAAACATGATTTGAAAGAATTGATTTGAGAGGAACACACTCTAGATTCGACTCCCATTAAGTTTTTCTTATTTTGAACAGCTGTTTTATATAGCTCCCTTCTCTTCGTAATTGCTAAATATTCAAAGATTTTGTTCAAATCTTTAAGTGTTCAACAACAAATAATATAAATATCATAATAAACAAAAAATTTAACAAACATGACAACAATCGCTGAAATGAGTAAAACATAGTCCAATGCTACATTTAGCAAAACACGTAAGAGCGTATGAGCTGCAATTCATAGCTTCGCTCGATAGTCCACCTTAAAGTAAACGTCAACGGGTTTTTCAAATGGAATAAAGGGGGGCATCCACGTAATGTTGTGCAAGGGGAAGGGGCCCCCTTCCCCTACCCACTTGAGTCACAAAGAAGAATAAGTCATTTCCTTGGACAAATTGATTGATAAGCTGATTGATATAAATTGGTAAGCTTTTTTAAGGCACTCACCTAATAGAGGTACAGTGTGAGATACAGTGCGTTGCCAAATGACAGGACCACCCTCGATTTTTGCGATTTTTTATTTTAAATAATTAAAAATGCCAAACGACGCTCAAATTCGAATTTTATATACAAAAGTACGCACAAATACCGTTTGCCAAATAATTTACTTTAAAAGGCCAAATCTTTCAAGCATTTCTTTATTTTACCCCTGTCGAGAGAAAAAATTGAGAAAAAATTTAATCTGGTTCCGACGGCAACAAGTACTATTGGCACGATTTGAGAAAAGATCCAATGCTATGTGGGCGTCGAAACTTCGGAGGAGGATCACTGATGATATGAGACGCTTTCAATGTGGATGACGTTCTTGATTTAGAATTTGTGACTTGTCGCATGAACTCGAACGATTATGAGGAGGTCCTGACGGATCAGCTACTTCCTTTCCAAGCACAAAATCGATAAAAACACTATATTTTTCAACAGGATAATGCTTCAATTCATGTCAGCCAATCCACTAAAGCTTTTCTGGAACGTCACAACATCGATTTTCTCGAATGGCCACCTGCTCACCGGACTTAAACCCAATGGAAAACTTATGGGGTATCCTCATGAGGAATATTTATGCTAATGGAAAGACTTGCGACACGATTTCGCAACTCCAAAAAGCAATTTTGCAAGCTTGGACGTCCATTCCACCACAAACCCTTCAAAACTTCAAAACTCGATGAAAAGTCGACTACTCGACGTCATCGGGAAAAAAGCGAGCATCTTTTGATTGTTAATGAACTTTTCGTTCTTTTCTTTCGTTTATTCTCAAATTCATTGTTTTTTTTATGTGGTCCTATCATTTTGCAACAGGTGTGAAATAAAGAAATTGTTATAATTTTGTTGCAATTTGTTCAGATAACGTTAAAAATGGTATATATGCCTCTTTTGTATATATTTCTAGGATTTAAAAGCTATTTCGCGTTATTAAATTTCATAGCCAAAAATGTAACATTTTGCGGTGGTCCTATCATTTTGCAACGGACTCTATCGGGAAATCAAGCTAGGAAATGGAAATCGTTTTCCTTTATCTCGTGAGAACACCGAGGCGACATTGCCGTTTTTGGCCACGTTTTTGTTTGGGTGGATGCGGCTGAAACGAAAGAAACATATTTATTGACAAGTACGAACACAAAAACAAGTGGATTACTCAATGATGAGTGATGATTGATCACTTCGAGTTGATGTATAAGCGGTTAACAGTTTACTTCATCGTGCTCGTTACCCCAAACTCTACAAGGCTCTACACTGATGTGAGCGACAAGTTAGCAGCATTATAAATCTGAAACAAGCATGGTCTCGTGACGGTTTCCTAGACTGATTCTGCTAAATGGCCATGCTTGCTTTTAAACTGAATATTGAGCTTTCCCATTCCCAATCTGATAATTTTCTCTTGTGCCAATGTCGGATTGTTGATTCTTTTCCGTTTTATGTCCACGAATCATGCTTTTTACACTCAACCGGAACTAATAGTACATTGTAAACAGGTGGCTTGATTACAAATAGTGACGTGAACTTTGTTCATTCGAAAAGAGCGAAATAAGTTTTATGCCTGGCAAGTTGATTTTTCGTTACCAATAGCAAAAAATTTATTTGATTCTATGTATTTATCTTGTATCCAGCATTTCGGAAAATTGAACAAAGAAATTTTATTGAATCTAGGAGGCTTTTCGAAGAAATTGTTTGCTCGTAGTCCAAGAATTACGAGCAAGTTGCTCGTAATACCAACATGCTCTATAAATTTTCCATGGGCTGCCAATGACCCAAATTCCTTACATAACTTTTTGCTTTATAAAAACGGCCCACCTTTTTGCTTCGAACCATTTTAAGCCGTTCTCAGCGACCGGCGCGCCCTACTGGTTTGGCTGGGTTCGACACAGAACTCAGTCCATGTTCGAAACAGAAGTCAATTCATGTTCAGTCGAGCCGAACTCGAAACTGTTTATCTAAAAAATGGCTTATAGTGAAACTATTGGTTTGACCGGAAACTCTTGTCCTCTTTGAAATTTTCGTTTATAAATGAATAATTAGCCGATCAACGTATGGCTTGCTTTAAATAAAAAGGATTAACTATTAACAAAACTGATTGATTACGACGGTTGCGTAAAATAGATACCTTTCAGAAGGTGCATTACTCGAAATGTACCCACTCTCATACCACACAGATGACTTGCTATGAGAAAAATAAAATGTAACGTTTCCGTTAAAAGAATAAAATCTCTTGTCAAAATGAAAACGTAAAATAGTCCTTAAAAACTTGTTATTCGAAAACATGCGAAACGAAACATGGACGCTTTGTCTCGAATGCTATGCGAAGCTTCTTGAAAAGGCTTAAAATTTCTGATCCGAGTGATTTACTTATAGAAATATTCAACAGAATTTCAGCTTCAAAATACTATAAAACACGGAAAATTTTGTTTTAGCTTTCATTTAGAAAATGAGTCATTTGCAAGTGTGCGGGTACTTTTTGATCACCTGTATTTTTGAACTTACTTGGTAACATTCTTTTCTGACTCCTGGAGCGTTCTCCCAACATTTTCTCAACAATGCGCGACACGGAAGATCGGGGTTTCTGTGCAACTCACGAATTTATCTCCATCATGAGAATTTGCATAGAAATGAGATTGCATCATGACTTTTTCCTCTCTAAAAGGTATACCTCAGTTTTCTAATATGATATCCATCGATATCATGATAACCGTCCTCTAATGGAGTGTCACAGTGACCGTATTGTTCCATGGTACATTTCTAGAGTTTTCCAGTAATCAGTTTGTAAAATTTACCAGTGTTTACAAGTGTTCATTTACAAGTGTGCGGGAACTTTTTGATTACTTTGTAAATTGAAGGCACGAAATGTAACCAGACCTAGCTCAGGCTCTTGACCTTAGTTAGACCTTGGTTTACTCGCTCGAAAAATGTCTGCTTGAAATCTCCGAGTTAGACTAACATTTATCTGCAAGTTATTGAAGATTATGAGGGGCAAAAACAAGTACAATGTCATATTCTTTATAGCAATTAGTAGTTACCCAATTGAAACATGAAAGATTTCCTAAAGTTTCTTTTCATGTGATTGATGAATCATTTTTTCATTTTCTTATCATAAAAAATATCTTGGATTTCTTTTTCTTTGGATTTCTTTCTTTGTGTGGTTTTGTTGCATTTCTTTTTTAGCTCTGTGAAGATTTTTATCATCGAGTCACGTTTCTCAATATTGATTTCTATAAATATCCCATTTAATTACGTAAATTTTTACTCATCACGTAAACAAGACGTAAAAAGACTATATAAAGACTGAACTCAGCTGATTGGATCAGTTTACTTTCTTTGGTTAGGCTTCTCTGTCTACTACCGCACTTCTTTTGTACTATTATATTGTAACTTTAATAAATGCATTGAAAACTGATAATAAACTGATTACTCTTTTTCACATTTAGATGAACGTGGCACGTTTTTTACCAGAAAGTTATGTGCAGAGCTTGGCACATTTTTTGCCAGAAGATCGTGTCGAAACGGTCCATTTTCGACATTTGAAAGGATACACACCAGATATTGTATGTAGTCGAGTAATCAATGTTAGAATGAACAAGTTTCAGAGTGATAAAGCATCACGCAATCCAGCCACACCGGATGATCATTTTCACATCTTGGCCAAAGGAGAATTCGGGAGCATTGTGTGGGTGGTTCTTGCATAAGCTTATTCAATCTAAAAAAATGATCTATAGATTGGCTCTGGTTTCAAATACTAGGCCAAACAAGAACTATAGGGTGGCTGAAGCTCTGATACCTTATGAAACAGTTCTGTTTGATGGGAAATATTGGGAAACTTTTTCAATTATGTTTGCTTTTCAGATTCACCACATATTTTTAGATTATAAACTAAATTTTCAGCTCACTAGCTCTATTCAAAAACGTTTTACGCTAATTTCTTTCTGGTTTGTGCTAATGGTGGTTGGTCGCATTCTCATGGGTAGCAAAGGGGAAAAAAAGTCGCCCATTTTGTCGCATGCCATTCTATTACATTAGAGTACTTTTTTTTTCACTAAAACCTTTTTCAGTTAGTATTAAAAGTGAAAAACAATCAAAAAGATGTTTTATGGCACAAATGACAAAATGAGTGATGTTTCTTTTTCCTTGTTGCCAATGAGGGTGCGACCAACGAACATTAACGCACATGAGAAAGAAATTAGCGTAAAACTTTTTCGAATAGAGCTAGTGAGCTGAAAATTTGGTTTATAATCTAAAAATATGTGGAGAATCTGAAAATCAAATATAGTTTAAAAAATTTCTCAATATTTCCTATCAAAAAGAACTGTTTCATAAGGTATCAGAGCTTCAGCCACCCTATAGATGCTTTAGTGCAGCGCTATTGTATTATCCATCAGTTGACGGAGTGGCAAATCCAAATGAACTACCAAAGTTTGAGGCAAAAGATGAAAAATGGAAGCGAGTGGTTTGTAAGAGGTAAGCAAAATGTAAAAGCTGACAAGTCAATAAGGCCAGTTCATGCTAAATCTTGTAAGTCAAGAAAGTTATTGATCCTCTTCTTGCTAACAAATTGAAGATTTTTAGATACAATGTAGAGAGATTGGAGAAGTTAAACGATGGCTACACGAGGCTAATAAGAGAGATAGAGTTTGGCCGTTTTCATTATCATGAAAGTGTAAGCAAATGATCATTAGCATCAAAAATAGTCGCTTCAGATTGTTAAATACTATGAGGCTTTCCCGGAATTTGATGGAACGACTAAAATAACCCATTATTGGTTGGTTTCTGAGCGAATGGATTACAATATGGAACAATATTTTAGGTATTTAGGTAAATAAAAAGAATCCGTTTAAAAGTAAAGTCTTTAGAATGCAAGATTATAAAAAGCTCGACCGGAAAACATTCTTATATCTCATCGGTTCATTTCTTGCCCAGTTATTGAGAGGACTTGATTATCTACATCAGAATGGGACCATGCATCGAGTAAAGAGCTGATTTACTCAAAAGCTATTCAATTTATAGAATATCGAGCCACAGCATATCGGTTACAATCAGCACAGATCACAATTGAAAATCCTAAATTTTGGCCTTTCACGGTAAATCACTTTTAATGAGAGAGCTGTTTCTGTTTTAGGCCAATTGATTTGAATCATGATGACTATTCTATGACTGTCGATGCACCTCTCCGGTATAAAGCAATTGAAATGCTAGTCAAAATCAAGTACAACACAAAAATTGACATCTGGGCGGCAGCATTGGTGACCATCGAATGGCTGGGAGAGAAGCTTTTTCAACCGCCTGGAAGTGACGAAGAAATAAGAATGGAGGTGCAATTTTGATTAGAGTTTGTTGCTTGATTAATACACTTTCTAAAGCGTGCGGCTCAAAAAAACTACTGTGGTTATGCAAATTTGTTTATTTGCAAATTTCTATTAATGCCAATTTAAGGTTTTCATTCATCATTAGATAAGTTGGTGAATTGAAAACTGCGGGACTTTGAACTAAAATTTATTCAACATAAAATTCATGAATTCATTCCAAATAATTTCCATTATTATTGACGACTTTTGCCCATTTTACAGACAATTTGCGGATTCCTCTTTCGTAGTAGGATTTTGGTTTGTGTGTGAGACAAGTGTGAGACTCAAAAATGGAGGACTGGAGATGTCCGAGTTTAAGCACTTTCTTCAAAAGAACCCCATTTTGGTGTCAATAGAAAAGTTGTAGAGAATCAAAAATTAAGCTTATATCCAAATTTTCAAAAAGATACATTTAATGGTTTCGCTTAAAATGCAAGTTTTGTGAAAACTCGTAAATTTGGCATTTCTTGAATCGTTCTGAAAATTTGGATATAAGCTTCATTTTTGATTCTCTACAACTTTTCCATTGATCTCAAAATGGGTTTCTTTTGAAGAAAGTGCTCAAACTGTCACATATGACAATAGCCGGGAGTTTTCAATTCATCAACCCAATATTTTTTCTCAATAGTATCCGCATCTTTTCTAACATTTTTGTTAAATATTTTTCGAATTTCTTTAAAAATTTGAAAACGTTTTCAGCTCCAACTTGTGGCCTTAAAAGTCATTTTAGGCAAAGAAATTTGGATCAACTCGAATCGTGCTAAATCGAATTCTTGACATTCTAGGTGTTCCAGATGATTACTACTATAGCATGTAAGTAAAATTCTGGTTTAAACCTACAAAAACTTCATTTAGTTTTGGCAAAGAATTGAGATGCGTGAAAAGACCCAATAAACTTACTGAAGAGCTCGAGAGGTTATGCAAGAAAAGTAGCCTTCAATATGTAAATGTGGTTGATGTCGGGCTACTGGATGGTTGGTAAAATTTTAGCTTTGGAGTTCGCTTTAGATTGATTAGTACATTAAGTACATTACAGTCGAAGATTTCTGTGATCTTCTTCAAAAGATGCTGAACCCGGATCAAAAAGTCAGACCAAGTGCAGAGGAATGTTTGGAGCATCCATTTCTACAAGGATTGAATGTAAGTTTGAAATTTTAAAAGCAATCAGTCTCTAGATTATTCTCTTTTTGGCTAAGTTCAGAAAATAGGGACCATGAAGATTGCGCCGCTGTGTAAAAATGGAAATTGAGCTGAATGGAATTGCCATTTACCAGCGCTTTCGCTTTTTTAGAAAATATGCACCAAGTCCATTCTAGAAGCGATTGCAAACTCATGCCCTGAATCGGCAACCGGTCACTGACGAGGAAATGAAGGATCGTAATCAAAAGCACAAAGAACTGCTTAACAAACAACTTTTGAGTGGATATACAAGACTCTCTTTCTAAATGAATGTTTGTATTGTTTTATCAGCGGGTTTCAACTTTTAGCTTACAGTTACAGTTACAAAGTGACTAGTGACTTTTAGCTTACAGTTACAAAGTGACTAGAAATCACCCATCCTTTTTTAGGCTCAAATTTCTGTTATTTGTAGACCAAAACGATTAGTTTCTTTTTTAAATGAAATTTCCCATCATTTTCTGTATGTGCTTAAGATTTCATGATCATCACATCGATAGATAATTTTTGATGTACGCTTAAAAATGGCCAAATTTAGGGGTTCCTTTATCGATGATCTTATAGAAAATATTAACGGATTGAATATTTTTTTAAACTAAATCTGCTTAAACATAATAAAAACTTAGCTTTTAGAAAAGAAACTGCAAAGAAAAAAGTATTTTTTTTTCAAAAATCTCAAATTTGAGTTGCGGCTCGGTAATTTTGTGAACAGCCATTTTTAAGCGTACATAAAAAATTATCTATCAATGCTATGATCATGAAATCTTGAACACATACAGAAAATGATGTGAATTTTCATTTAAAAAAGAAACTAATCGCTTTGGTCTACAAATAACAGAAAGATGAGCCTGGAACGGAGTATTCGGACTGGGTGTTTCTGATCACCCTATTGTTCTTTAAAGATCACCCTATTGTTCTTTATGTGTCATAACTTTTTTGTATTTCACTTTTGCTAGCCAAAACTTGGTTTTGCATAATAAATTGTTGAAAACAACCATCATCCAATCGTAATTGAAAAATTTGGCTTTTGGCATTTGGCTTGCACCTCTTAATTTGAGGTGACTCACACTTTTGCTACTTCTTATCACAAAAATCGTTTGGTTTTTGTTTGAATCGATGACAAAAAAAGAGCTTTTATTTGAGTCGATTATTTGTCTCATCATTATTGATTTCTTTTTGGAAACGAATTAACTTTAAACACCTTTAAAATCTTTAAAATTAGAAATGAAAATCGTTAACCATTCATTTAGTTTTGGCAAAGAATTGAGATGCGTGAAAAGACCCAATAAACTTACTGAAGAGCTCGAGAGGTTATGAAGTTCGAGAGGAAAAGTAGCCTTCAATATGTAAATGTGGTTGATGTTGGGCTACTGGATGGTTGGTAAAATTTTGGCTTTGGAGTTGGCTTTAGATTTAGTTTGATTAGTACATTAAGTACATTACAGTCGAAGATTTCTGTGATCTTTCTGTGATCTTCGTAATTGAAAAATTTGGCATTTGGCATTTGGCTTGCACCTCTTAATTTGAGGTGACTCACACTTTTGCTACTTCTTATCACAAAAATCGCTTGGTTTTTATTTCAATCCATGAAAAAAAGAGCTTTTATTTGAGTCGATTATTTGTCTCATCATTATTGATTTCTTTCTGGAAACGAATTAACTTTAAACACCCTTAAACACCTTTAAACACTTTAAACACCTTTAAAATCTTTGAAATTAGAAATGAAAATCGTTAACCATTTGCAAGTTTTCTCATTTTTAGATGAGTTCTTCATCAAGATTTGATCCAAGAAACTATGTGGATAGTTTTGCAAAATTTCTCTCACCGACCATAGTTAAAGAGATTCATTTTCGACATCCGGAAGGATATCTACCAGACATTGTATGTTTAAAATCGAATTTTGTAGCGACTTTTCAGGGTGAAATGTATCAAAGATAAAATTTAGCTAACTATTTAATGTTAATGCAGTAGAAACCATATAATATAAAGGTTTTAGTCTGACAAAATCTTCCGTCACCCGAGCATTGACGCTAAGCTTTTTCACGTTTTGGCTGAAGGACAATTTGGAAGTATAATGTAGGTTTTTGTTTTCTTTAGAGCTCTTGGCAACTATCAATTTAGTGCGGCGGTCTTGTTTTATCCGTTAGTTGATCAAAAGGAAACTTCAGAAGAAGTGCCAGTGTTTGATCCGAAAAATGAAGAATTCGCTCGGAATGAAATGGAAAATGAAAAATGGAAACGTGTGGTGTGTAAAAGGTAAGCAAGTTGTTTTCTGGAAAATATCCTTCTTAACATTTTTGATACACTACGAGTGAACTAGAAGGGCTGAATGACGGTTACACGCGATTACTTAGAGAAATCCAGTTTTCTCGCTTTCATCAACATGAGAATGTAAGCAAAAAAAAATGGTCATTTTATCTCGAGATTCTTAATTAGATTGTCAAATTCTACGAAGCTTTTCCCGAGTTCCAAGGGTCAGGAAACATAACAAATTACTGGCTAGTTTCCGAGCGGATGGATTACAATATGGAACAATATTTTGGGTAAATAAAAAGAATCCATTTAAAAGTAAAGTCTTTAGAATGCAAGGTTATACAAAGGTCGACCAGGAAACATTCTTATATCTTATCGGTTCATTCCTTGCACAGTTATTGAGAGGACTTGATTATCTTCATCGGAATGGAATCATACATCGAGTAAGGAATTCGATTAACTAATTTGATTAACAGCAAAAATCTTTAGAATATCGAGTCGAGGCAAATCGGTTATAATCAGAACAAGTCGCAGTTCAAAATTTTGAACTTTGGACTTTCACGGTACATCAGTTCAACTACGGGATGGTCAGCGAAATTTAGAGCGAGGTTTTTGACTCGTAGATGATGCCGGGTTTATCAAAACCTAATGAACTCATATTCAAAAATGTAGTAAATTTTCTGTAGTTTCTGAAACTTATAATTATTTTACAAAAGGTCTCCTAGTTTTTGAGTTATACCATTTTCCGCGCCCTCCAAAAAGGGCCACTGAGCCAAAAGTGATAAGAGGTTCACCCTAGAATATTGTGTTGCAAATCAAGCTGGCTGCTGAAAGAATGTTTTCAATTATTAGCTAAGGTCTTGTTTTAGCTAACATAAACTGGAATCTGATAAAAAAAAATGGAAAAAGTCTTTTTACACACTTTTTCCACCATTACTATCAAATTTTACCAGCACCCCTTAAAAACTAAAAACAAAATCATACTCAAGATGCTCTTTTAAGTCATGTGTTTGGTTCCAAAAAATTGGTTATATATTATTAACTAGATTTTAGTCCAGATATTCTAGCCAATGATGCATTTTGCAAAAGATATTTAACCTCAAACTTTAAAAAAACGAGCAGAGGCACAGAGGCCTTTTCTGGAGGCTGGGGAAAAGCGCATAACTCAAAAACTAGGAGACCTCTTGTAAAATCATTATACGTTTCAGAAACTAAAGAAAATTTACTACATTTTTGGACATGAATTCAATCAATTTTGATAAACCTGGCATCATCTACAAGTCAAAAACCTCGCTCCAAATTTCGTCGGTTGCCCTGTATAGGCCTGTATAAATTACCCAAAATTTACCCAATCCTTTAGCAGTAGTTGTTTGAAAATATTCATAGCGAACTAATTGTTATATAAACTTAGAAAGGTTTAGGTTTAGGCTAAAATATGGTATGGAAATGTTTGTTGGAAAAACTGTTGGTTTGGAAACCAGAGTTGGCTTTTGCCTCGACCATTTCGAAACTCTTTTAGGCCGTTGGAATTTTACCCAATAGTAAACCCAACATAGCACAGTCATTTATTTATCAACTCAAAAGTTCGGCAAAAGCTTTTCTTTATATTAGCTAGATTTACTTCTTTGATACTTCTTTCTACTTACTGAAAATGAAAACTTTAACATTTACGTGAGAACTTTAATGACTTTTCATAATGGAAGAATTTTGAAGTTTTTCAGTCTTCTATTCTTTTGTCAAAAAAGTTAATTATTCTGAAAGATTGTTAGGAAAGTTTAGCTATAAAAATTCATACAATATACTCTAAAAAATAAGGAACCCAAAATTTTTGCAAAGACAAATAACACAAAAGTCATTAAAGTTCTCACGTAAATGTTAAAGTTTTCATTTTCAGTAAGTAGAAAGAAGTATCAAAGAAGTAAATCTAGCTAATATAAAGAAAAGCTTTTGTTGAACTTTTGAGTTGATAAATAAATGACTGTGCTATGTTGGGTTTAGTGTTGGGTAAAATGCCAACGACCTAAAAGGTGTCGAAAGGGTCGAGGCAAAAGCCAACTCTAGTTGTAAACTAAGAGTTTTTGCCACAAACGTTTCCATAACATATTTTCGCCTAAACTTGGAGCTTTCTAACAGGTATATAACAATTATGTGTTATGCTGGAGATTTTCAGCACAATTGCAAATAGATCATCATGATGACCGGGTAATTTTGCCGCACTCTGGACATTATTCACATCTACCATTTTTCAGGCACATTAATTTAAATGCTGATCACTCAACGACTGTCCTTTCGCCTCCTTGTTACCAAGCTATTGAAATGCTAGTTAACGTCAAATATAACACAAAAATTGACATCTGGGCGGCAGCATTGGTGACCATCGAATGGCTGGGAGAGAAGCTTTTTCAACCGCCTGGAAGTGACGAAGAAATAGAGAGAGCGGTCGGTTTATAAAGCTTTAAAAATACTATATAACATAAGTCCTAAAGCATTGTTCCTACTGAAAACTTTAGAGAAGGAAAGTTGGATCAACTAAACTCATACTAGATCGAATTGTTGACCTGCTAGGTATGCCAAAAGACAAATATAAGAATATGTAAGTAAACTTAATATCAAATTTGTTAACAAATTGATCTCTTATAGTTTTGGGAAAGTTTTGATGTATGAAGAGAAGCCTAGCAGACTGAGCCAAAAACTCGTGGATCTGTGCAAGAGCAGTGGCCTCCAAAATGTAAATGTGGTTGATGTTGGGCTACTGGATGGTTGGTAAAATTTTAGCTTTGGAGTTCGGTTTAAATTTTGATTAGTACATCAAGTACATTTTTAAAGTCGAAGATTTCTGTGATCTTCTTCAAAAGATGCTGAACCCGGATCAAAAAGCCAGACCAAGTGCAGAGGAATGTTTGGAGCATCCATTTCTACAAGGATTGAATGTAAGTTTTAAATTTTAAAAGCAATCAGTCTCTAGATTATTCTCTTTTTGGCTAAGTTCAGAAAATAGGGTCTATGAAGATTGCGCCGCTGTGTAAAAATGGAAATCGAGCTGAATGAAATTGCCATTTACCAGCGCCTTCGCTTTGTACGAGTCTGGTATCAAAATATAGCTCTTCGGTTGGGCTACACGATGATATGAAAAACTTTTAGAAAAACTCTTGTTTAGTATAAGAAAAATGGTCGCAAAGTGAGAGCACCAATACTGCTCACCCATGCAAAAGACCGGATGTCGTTGTTAGTATTGCGCTGTACAGTCGGGGCTCTCAATTTGCGACCATTTTTCTTGTACTAAACAACAGTTTTTCTGAAAGTTTTTCATGTCATCGTGTATCCCAATTGAAGGGCTACATTTTGATACCAGACTCGCACAAAGCGAAAGCGCTGGTAAATGGCAATTCCATTCGACGCAATTTTCGTTTTTACACAGCGACGCAATCTTCATATGCACCAAGTCCATCCTAGAAACAATTGCAAACGTACGCCCTGGATCGGCAACCGGCCAATGACGGGGAAATCAAGATCCGTAATCAAAAACATAAAGAGATTCTCGACAAACAACTTTTGAGTGGTTACACAAGACTTTCTTTCTAAACTGATGAATTATTTGAATAAAATGATCATTGAGTAAATGTTTATCTGAAACGAGATCAAAAAAATCCATTTAAAAACACAAAATCATTATCCCCAACTGTAACTATAATATGGATAAGTGGTTTCTCGAGTGTATGGAGTATATTGCGTTGTTTGTGAATAATAATACGATTGAATCATATTGTTTGTTGGTAGATTGTTGGCACAAGGCGCGTAGTTTTGTGTCTTCTGATGATGTTGGAAGTATCCGATATTTGAGCAGTAGCATTGGTAATATGGATAGTTCCATTGATCGTATCCAAGATACCGGACCACTGAAATGAAGAGATTGCAAAAGAAGTGCAAGATCAAGCCTTGAATACTCATTTACAGGTTTTCAGGTCTATCAGAATCTGTTTACATTTAATCAAATACTGTTCCAAGCTAAGTAGTCAATCAATGTCTTTCAAGCGCTTAAACAGCTTCTTTGCCAAGCCTGGCAGGCAACTTGAGCAATATTTGACCCAATTTTGGCCCAACTTTGGTTTGAAGCCACAATTTTGATCTAATGAACTTCACCTTGACATTGCCCAGCGGGTCGTCCCAAATTAACCGCTTGATATTGCATTGGAGAATATGAAGTCTGATAATAGGGCTGGCCATACCACGTTTGACTGTACGGCTGTCCATAGCCACCATAACTGCCTGCAAATTTGATATACTTTTACTAAACGTTAAAATTCGATAAACTATGCATAAAGCAAGGTGTATAAAGCTAAAGTCTTCAAGCTTGACGGCAAAAAATCTTACCTCCGTAGCCTCCGTATCCGTTATAATAATTTCGCCGGCGTCCAAAAAGCCCACCAAAACCGACATTTGAGTGAATTGCCAATCCCCATCGACCTAGATTCTTTGCTTTGGCTTATTTTGTAATAAAAAAAGTAGAAACTCTTCGAAAGTTACTTACCAAGAAGGGGAACGAATGCCGTCTCGCCAAAATCTGAAAATATAATCTCTTAGCAATTTTTATCTTCTAAAACTTACAGCTAGGAATGTGATAAATGACTCGTTTATCTCTTTTCGATTTTTCGACTTCTGTGGAGTTTGAACTTTCGCCGGCGATTTGGGTCTCGTTTTTCGACTCCTCTGTCAAGAGATCTCGAGTCAACGTGTCAGTCTTTGAGTCCTTCTTCATTTCTGAAAGTTCGCATGGCTTCCAATGTTAATTCTAACTCTTAGCCTATAGCCTACAGCAAAAAATGTAGTCAAAATAAGCTTTAAAACTCACCACAATCAGATACTGCTATCAAAAATCCAATTAACATCAAAATTCTTGCAGAAAGCGGCCTCATTCTTTTGGATTTCGATAGATTTAAAATCAAAGCAATTTGTTGAAGAGATTTCCCTTGGCTTTGCGTTTATTTATGTCTCACTTTCATCCCATTCGATTGAAAGTTTTCGCCAAAATCGGCCTTTTGACCCCTTGCAATCAACAGAGAAAATCAACTCCTTTTTTCGGGATTTCAGTTATTTTCTCGGGATAGAGTTTTGCTTTGACATTGAACTCTCGAAGAACGATCTGGGCGGGGAAAAGTGGCTAAAGTGGGAAATGTTTTGAAATTTTGAGTCAGAGAAGTCAGAGGAGTCAGAGGAGTCAGTTTTTGATCCTAGTCAGTTTGACTTAGCTTTCAAGCTTAATGGATTACAAAATAGGGATAAAGTTCCATTTTGAAACTTTGCAGGTAAAGTGAGCCTTGAAAAGCTGTACCAAACTAGTTTTCTAACTTGAGGGTATTGTAGAAAGTTCGAATGTTCTGAATCAGTATCAGTACTAGGCTCAAAAGTCAAGCAACACCATCACCAGTGTGATCTTGTTGATAGTTAGATCAGATATTCAGATAGCTGATAGTAGTGATAGTCTAATCCTAACTAATTCAAACCCTTTATACTTTTTATACCTATCTTTCCGAGCTTTCGAGATCATTCAATAAAGCCGTTGATCCTAGTCACCAAGTTGTCCAGCTTTCGAGCCCAAAGAGGTCATAAAAGAAGAAAAGCCTTGTTTTGAAGTCACCTAAAACTTCGTAAGTGTTAATATTGGTACCTAATAATGTCAAAACCAATACTTACTTAATCTACGTAATCCAGTCCAGTACTTGATCTGCATCAGTACTTGTATTTGTCTTGCTCTAACTAATCCAAACCATACAAACTTTCACACACGTTTTTCCTTTTCCAATTGTTTATCACCAAACTCTATTTTGTTTTCCCTTTCTTTTTCTCTTCCGCATTTTTTTGAGAAAGCGATCGGGTAAACGTTCACGTGATTAATGGAAGCAGAAATCGCCCAGGACACATTTTAGTTTGCTGAACTTCGCAAGGAGTGGGCTAAAATTTTTGGAGACCAATGTTTAGTTCTCAGGAAGTTGAGTGGGTTTTTGGAAGATTTGCTGAATGTCCTTCTGACAAAGGATCTAGAAAAACAGAGTTGAGATGGAATGTGGATATTAGCTTTCTTTACAAGATTCTTCAATACAAGAATTCAGTTCTATTTGTGCTAGGTAACAATCAAAAGAATTTTTATGTCTTTTCACAGTCCGGTAATTCATTTACAATTTAGCCCGACCGAATGGTTGTTTTCAGTTCAAAAACAAGATCCGTTGATTGTTTTGTTGTTCGAAAAAGCCAAATTTGGTGCTCAATATGCAACAAAGACCACGAATATTACGTGGAAATTTGTAGCAATTCAAACTAAAGTTTGAATTTATGCCTCAAAACGGATCAAGTCAAGACTATGCAACTTTGCAAGAAGAATTCTATGACAGTTTTGACCCTGAGCGTTGTGAGGATCATTCTGGAACGTACGGGTATCACTCACCTAGCTTGATAGAATATGGATGGAATGGATTACCATTATACTCAAACGTGAACGATCAGTATAACTTTTCGGTAGCCATGTCGATGATCGGGGTGGGTTTTTGTGGCTCTGATCTGATTCAGACTTGGCTACAGCTTTAAAATTGAAAATTCAAGATGGGCCTGATCGGAATGATCATAAATATCTTGGCTGGTGCTTTAATATTTAAGAATAAACGTCTATCAACAGCCATCAAATGGATTTTACTCTCATTCATCGCTTGTTTATTAACTGATTCTCTTTTCCGTTTTTACCAAGCACATTGTGTTCTAACGTTTGTTTAGTAGTTGATCTTTGTAATTCTATTTAGATGGGCTTGTGTAAATGTAACTGGTTATCCGTTTTCTGGACTAATCTTGAACCAGATTATCACCAGCTTTGAAGCCAGTGACTCAATAACGATTGAATTGCTTGATATTGCACTTTCGATTAATCGGTAAAGGAGTTTTTCAAAAGAAACACAATTTCAGTTACTTTGCTGTTTTCTTTAATGGTCGATATTTTCGAAGAGCTGAGAAGACAGCAATTTTTCATTGTGCTATTGCTCGGTTCATACCTATTATCATACTTGCAATCCAAATTGGGATTAGTAAGTTTTACGAAGATTGTTATAAATCCTTTCATAATGAAAACCAACGAAAAGTCAGTGATGAGTTGGGTAAGAGATCCAACTTTTCTTCAAGTCCAACTTTCAACTCATTCACTTTCAGTCACCAACCCATCAACCGACTTTATTTGCTATTCAGGCTGCTATTTCGATCCTTTAATGTACGGTTTCTCTTTAATTTATGCAAAGTTTAATCTCCCAATGCTTATCTTTAACAAACCGATCTATATTATTGGATCCACATTTGTTCTGACGTTTGGCATGGACATAGCTGTGATATGGAAACTCGTAAAAATGGTTTGATTATCTAAAAAGAAATTTTCAAAACTATTCAGAACGCAAAGTCGGAGAGTAGACGACGCGGTGATCTGAAATTAATGATTATGGTAGGATTAAAAATTTTTTATCCTGGATTATTTGAGAGTAATTTTGTGAGACAGGCCAGAAATCAGTACTGTACAGGGTGCGTCAAAATTACCCATACTAGCGCGCGACTAAAACAAGTAGAGATTTCTTTCGATTTTTTTATTTACTCCGAGTTTTACTTTGTTTTTTATCATTTCCAGATATAAAATAATGTTTTTTTTCTGTTTCAGGTAATCGATTTTGGGATGATGAAGCCTTCGATTCACTGTCAGTCATCGATCTTCATTAGCAGGGTGTCTCAGCGCGTTCAATCCAGAATCGCCTAGGAGCAAGTCGAGCTACCGTCTATCAAACAATTGCACGGTTTAAAGCATTGGGAGACAACAGGGATCGATTGGGCCGTGGACGGAAGAGATCTGTGATCATCAGAGTCGTCATCAAGAGAGTGGTCAAGATCAGACGGAACCCGGAAAGGAGTGTTCGCCGCTTAGCCCGAGAAGCTGCGATTTCTGAGCCATCGATGAGACAAATTGTTCAAAAAAATCTCAAAATGCAAGCTTTTAAGAAGAACAAGTGTTAAGGATTGACAGGAGCAGCCAAACAAAAGCGAAAGGAGAGGAGCCAAGAACGATGCAGCACCATCGTTCAATCCTGTTCAGCGACGAGAAATTGTTTACCTTGGAACAAGTGCTCAATAAGCAAAATGATTGAATTTAATTCCAATCCACACAAGGCGTGCTCTTCATCCAGCATCTCTTATGGTTTGGGCGGCGATCACATCAGACGGAAAGTCGTCTTTGTGCCTTCTGGCGTTAAAATCAATGGAAATACTTACCTGGATATTCTCCAGCAAGAATTGCATCCTTGGGCACAATCTCATTTTAAAAGACGTCATTGGACGTTCCAAGAAGATGAAGCTCCGGCTCACAAGGCTCGATTTGTCCAGGATTGATGTCAGCTCAACATTCCCGACTTTATCGCTTTTGATGAGTGGCCCCCAATTTCACCGGAACTCAAGCCGCTTGATCTTTTGCCGACGCCTTCCCAACAAGACTCAAGGCTTGCCGCAAAGCTGGAGATATATTTGAAGTTTAGTTGTTTTTTTAATTGATATGGGTGTTATAAATGTTTTTTTACAAAAATTAGAATTTTGAATTTAAAGGAAATTTTTTCCAAGATTTTTCTGAGTATGAGTAATTTTGAGGTACCCTGCAACACCAAAAGCATGGATCTTTACGGTTATCGGGGCGGGGAAGCGATTAGCCGTGGGGCAAAAGTGGCGATTAATCGTGAAGGAGGTGATCTAAAACTGTATTTTAACAATGAATCCAAAAATTTTTCATACACTACTATTTACCTAGGCTATGGCTCCGCACACCCGGATCGCCTGAACACAGGCTATTCAACCTTGGGTATTCAACCTTGGGTATTCAACCTTGGGTATTCAACCCGGGTCACTAGAAGCCACTGGGCTAGTCACTGGGCTAAATCACAGGGAAAGTACCAATCTGCTCTAAGGAAGCAATCCGTCGAGTTTCGGAGCGATCGGATGAATTCTGATAACCGTAAGGATTTAAAATATAAACGATGACTTAATGCAAATAAGAAAAACAGTGCTTGTAATACTTTAGCATGCTATAAAATTTTCTTTGTCTGCAGAAAAGCTCTTTCCTAGGTGACAATCACTCATGTTTTGCCAATGGTTGACTGGTGCAACGATTGGCTTACGGGTTTCCTTTTCGATGCCGTATTTTTAAAGCCGTTGAACTTTTTTCTCCAAATTTGCGTTTTTCAATTCACTATTCGCTGTCTAATGGCGTGGGTTTAATTTTTTTTTACAGTAGAAGGTTTTACAAGGAAAAGTACAAGTACAAGTCTTACAGGAAATTACAGACAAGCAAGGGTATAATTTCTATGAACAAAAATTTAGATGCGTAATCATTGGCTTTAATTGGCCTTATTGCGAAAAGAGGTCAAGATTGGTGAAAATAAGGAACAAATTCTAATCTTGAGATCATGAAACTTTAAATCATTAATCATCAACAAAATAAACAATAAAGTATCACAAAATTTTCGTACTCAATTGTTGTAATCTTATTTCGAATACACTTATCGTTCTTGAAAGTCTGTATTGTCTGTACTCAAAAGTAAATCATTCGCAACACTTAACACTTTAATGTTTATTGTACTTGTACTTATTTATTGTATTTTCTTTATTGTACTTGAATGGCTTTTCTTTCTCAGAGATCTGTGTTTTGTTGCGTCAAATAAAGGCTTTTCATTGAAAGTATCAATTCCATGAGTCCGACTCGTTATTTTCATCATCCGTAATTACATTGCGCTGTTGTTCTTTGAACGGTCTCAACCTTTAAAATGATCAAAACAAAGACGATATTTAAACTTTGTTTGAAATCAATAGATGCTCCCTTTTTCTC